TAACAGTACTCGTAGTCGTATGTGGGGCAATAGTACTAGTTGTGTACTGGTAGTCGCTGTTCGAATGGAAGTAGTAGTGTTAGTAATAGTGGTAGTAGTAATGGTAATAAGAATATAACTAATAGCGGATAGGTAATATTCGTTATCGTAGTACTACTCGTAGCAAGAGGATGTAGGGTGTATAACACGCCACTTAACAATGTAGGGAAACAACTGTTGCTTCGTATTCTCTCTGGCTATATTGAACTTCGGCCTTGCCGCCCCCATTCCCCGACCAACTTTATCTTGGCCCAGAAAAAATATCCTGGCGAAGGACCCAACCATATGCAGTTGTGAGTATCGCAATTGGGAGTATCTTCTTCGGTGGCGCTCCCTACGGGGCCACGAACCGCATGAGGGGTGTGCCGAAATGTGGCGGGGTACACAACGCAAAGGAATACGATTGATCTGATTACGAGAGAAAGAACGCGGGTGAGTCAGAGCGCGAGGGAATCTGAGTATGAATGGGTCTGCGCGCGAGTGAATATATTTGCATGACTGCGATCATGGAACCGCCTAGTGTAAGTGTCGAGCACGCCTGCCCGAACACACGTGACACTGGGCGTGGCCGCCGCAGGCAGCTTCCGCGGGAACCCCGACGGCAGCGTCCGCAGGTCGCGACGCCCATGTCGGCACGCCTCTTGCGAGGATCGCGCCCGCTTTCGGCTCTTCCTTTCCTTCCTCTTTGCCCGCGCACTCCAAAATCCAAGGCTGCGGGCGCAGCGCAGCGCGGAGTCCCCGCGACGCGCGCTGGTCGCCCCGGGCGGGGTCCCAGCGACGCGCGCGGATCGTCCGCTGCGCGAAGCAGAGAGAGCTGACTAGCTAACTGGCTGGCTGATAGCGGGCCAGTCTCTGACCGCTGGGCAGAGCGACGACGGGCGAACGAGGCGCCGGGCCCCCCGCAGCACGGAGTTCCCGCGACGCGCGCTGGTCGCCCCGAGAAGGTCCCAGCGACGCGCGCGGGTCGTCCGCGGCGCGAGGCCAAACAATTAGTCGGGCAGTCGAGAGAAGGCGCGGCTCGGGGGAGACGCTCCTCAGGTCAGGCCTCGCGGATGAACTCGGTGAAGCCGAGCTCCCTGGCGAGGGCCGTCGCTTCCCTCCTGCACCGCTTCGTGCGCGCCGCAAACTGCTCCAGCTGCTTCCGCAAGCCCTGCGGCGGCCCTGCCAGGAAGAACTCGATGCGCGGCGCCCGCATGAGCAGGAGGTCCTCGTGGCGCGTGGCGCGCGAGAGCAGCACGTAGAGCTCCAGCCACCAGTCGTCGTCCTCCTTCTTGCCGTTCCCTACCTCGTGGCGGCCGCAATCCAGGATCACGCCTGGGCGACGTCGACCGAGGGAGCAGCGCGCCGGGCAGCCGACGGCCCAGGGCGAGAGTCCACAGGACCGAGAGATGGTCTGGCCGCGGACTGCTCGCGCCCCGGAGGTCTGGCCGCCCCCGGAGCGCCGTTCCCCCGCCCCGTCGCCTTCGCGCACGGTGCGTCCCTGGCACGCCACCGTGGTGATGACCCTGCCGTGCGAGAAATGCGGGGGGTGTGCCGAAATGGGTGGGGGTGACGCATGCGGGCGGCGGGCACTGGGGCCTTCGGTGGAGCTCCCTATGGAGCCACGAAACGTGTGAGGGGTGTGCCGAAATGGGTGTGGGGACGCATGCGGCCGCGGGCACTGGGGCCTTCGGTGGAGCTCCCTATGGAGCCACGAAACGTGTGAGGGGTGTGCCGAAATGGGTGTGGGGACGCATGCGGCCGCGGGCACTGGGGCCTTCGGTGGAGCTCCCTATGGAGCCACGAAACGTGTGAGGGGTGTGCCGAAATGGGTGTGGGGGACGCATGCGGCCGCGGGCACTGGGGCCTTCGGTGGAGCTCCCTATGGAGCCACGAAACGTGTGAGGGGTGTGCCGAAATGGGTGTGGGGACGCATGCGGCCGCGGGCACTGGGGCCTTCGGTGGAGCTCCCTATGGAGCCACGAAACGTGTGAGGGGTGTGCCGAAATGGGTGTGGGGGACGCATGCGGCCGCGGGCACTGGGGCCTTCGGTGGAGCTCCCTATGGAGCCACGAAACGTGTGAGGGGTGTGCCGAAATGGGTGTGGGGGACGCATGCGGCCGCGGGCACTGGGGCCTTCGGTGGAGCTCCCTATGGAGCCACGAAACGTGTGAGGGGTGTGCCGAAATGGGTGTGGGGGACGCATGCGGCCGCGGGCACTGGGGCCTTCGGTGGAGCTCCCTATGGAGCCACGAAACGTGTGAGGGGTGTGCCGAAATGGGTGTGGGGGACGCATGCGGCCGCGGGCACTGGGGCCTTCGGTGGAGCTCCCTATGGAGCCACGAAACGTGTGAGGGGTGTGCCGAAATGGGTGTGGGGGACGCATGCGGCCGCGGGCACTGGGGCCTTCGGTGGAGCTCCCTATGGAGCCACGAAACGTGTGAGGGGTGTGCCGAAATGGGTGTGGGGGACGCATGCGGCCGCGGGCACTGGGGCCTTCGGTGGAGCTCCCTATGGAGCCACGAAACGTGTGAGGGGTGTGCGCGAAATGGGTGTGAGGGGTGTGCCGAAATGGGTGACGCATGCGGCCGCGGGCACTGGGGCCTTCGGTGGAGCTCCCTATGGAGCCACGAAACGTGTGAGGGGTGTGCCGAAATGGGTGTGGGGGACGCATGCGGCCGCGGGCACTGGGGCCTTCGGTGGAGCTCCCTATGGAGCCACGAAACGTGTGAGGGGTGTGCCGAAATGGGTGGGGGGCGCATGCGGCCGCGGGCACTGGGGCCTTCGGTGGAGCTCCCTATGGAGCCACGAAACGTGTGAGGGGTGTGCCGAAATGGGTGTGGGGGACGCATGCGGCCGCGGGCACTGGGGCCTTCGGTGGAGCTCCCTATGGAGCCACGAAACGTGTGAGGGGTGTGCCGAAATGGGTGTTGATGATGATGATGATGGGAGGGGGGAGGAGGCAGCGGGAGGAAGGAAGGAGGGAGAACGCGGGGCACCGTCTCTTCAAAACGAGGACCCAACACCACAGGATGGTTGGGAACAACTCTCAGGGATAAGGGGTGGGCTTTTATTATCGGGGGCACGGGGTTCACGTGCCGCTCGAAAGCGCGGGGGGCCAAAACCGCTGGAACGAGACGCAAACCAAAACCTCCCGACCCTACAGTGGGGATGCGCCCGCAAGAAACCAACGCCCTGAAAATCAAAAACATGTGATGCCCAATGTCCAGATTTCGTGGCCAAGGGCTCCAATCAGAGAAACCCACGGCGCCCTGGGCGCAACACTTTCTTAACGACCAGGGGGGAACAACCGCGCATCGCTGGAGACGAGGAAACCCAAGGCACCCTGACGGAAAGCTTGGTGCGCGTCCCCACTGTACTGTCGGCGGCACGCCCAGGGTTAGGCGGCACCTCCTGTGAGGTCTGCGCGAGGACAGTGGAGGGTTATGAGACCCGATGTTTGGGGCCATTGGGCCGGAGTAAACCTGATTGAGCCTGGGAAGGCGCCAGAAACTATGATGAAACCGGGGTCAAGCCGGACATGATTGGACGCTTGCCGGACTGGGACAGTTTTCGATTACGGATATATCAGCGCCAGCGCCGATGCTGCATGCACCAGGAGTTGCTTCCTAAGAGAAGGCAGGGGGCCCAGCCGTCCCCACCTTACCTGCCGGCGCCGAGCCCAGGGTGGGAAGGCAGAAGGGGCCAACACTCCGAGAAGGCGGCGGGGCTTCTCAGAGGCCCTCCCACCTCCTGAGAAGGAGCCGTCTGTGACTTCGGCGGAAGGCTCCTTAGAAGGTGGGGTGACTTCTCAGCCCCCCCCCCCGGGGCGCGCCGCAGGCTGCTGAGTCTTGCCCCCTGACTCTCGGATGATCGAGGCGGGAGGCGTTCGCGCACGTTCCCCAAGCAGTGCTTGCACTTGGGGTGACCTGCCCCGCCCTGTAGGAGTTTGGCAAGATGGTCGGGCCTGTCGGAATTTGCCTCGCCCTGCCTCGCTTTCGACTGGTGTCAGGCCGCGGGTGCCTCGGGGTCACCCCGTGCGCTGGCGGGCTTGCGGCTGGTGCCCAGCGATCGCACCACGTAGCTTGCGCCACATCGCCTACACCACCGAGCTGCCCAGCTTGCACTGCAAAGCTCACATCACGTAGCTGGCACCGCATAGCTTGCACCACGTGGCTTGCACCGCGCAGCTTGCACCACTTAGCGTGCACTGCATAGCGTACACATGCTCGTAACACGCTGGCAAACATGGAACGTCTGGTCCTTCTTCGGGCCTTTAGCAGCAGCATCTGGACACGTTCAGGGAACACGACGCGGGGCCGCAGCAACATCTACCAGCCATTCTCTGTTTCCACCAGGCATGATGCTAGTGGAGGTCTGGCCCTCCTTTCCCCTCTCATCCTCCCGTTCGTACCCCTTCCGCCTCGCACCTCTCCCCCTCCTCCTCCATCCCGCCTACGCCTTCTCTCCCTCCACTCAAACCCGCTACCCCTCTGACCATCAAACCATCTTACCCCATCCTTTGTACCTCTCTCTGCCCACTCACCCTTGCCATCTCCCCTCTCCTCATTTCCCCTTGCTTGTCTCTCTCCTCCCTCCTCCCCTGCCTTAGCCTGCTCGTCCTTCCCTCCAAGACAGCATCCCCCCCTTGCCCCAACCCGCCTCCTTCTCACCCTCCTTCCACGGAAAGAGCGATCTCCTGAACTCACCAACCAACTATTGCAACCAGAATGCGCGATCAACCAATCGGAGGACCCGCAATCGGCGAATGAGTCGGCCAACCGATGTCCGCTTCAAACAGACCACCGTCATTTGTTCATCCGAGCACATTCTCAATCGTCTTGCAAGGAACGCTCGCCTCGAGATCCACTGTGGGTGTGGTCGTCCTCGTGTCGCAGCTGTTGAAACACTGTACGATCGTGTCGATGACGAGGGGCTGGGAGCAACACTTTCGCCCACCGATGGGGAAATAACTCGAGATTCCAAGTTGGAAACGAGCGGGATGTGCACAACAACAGGAGGGGTGCAACACAACATGCGACACCATACCGTACATACCTGCATACCGCACTTTCGCGGTGGGGTTGCCGGGGCCTTGGACGCAGCTCAAATGACGCATCCATCGACGCGTGCTACTGTGCTAGATGCTAAGAGCCAATCCCAATCCAAACAAATCCCGTATGCGGCGGATAGTTCAACCGATGTTTCCTCCGGGTGGTCTGGAAACAAGGGACTCTAGCCAAGCGGTTCAATCAAAGAGCATGCAAACGAGACGGGAAGCGCATTGCATGCGTGGATCGAAGGTCGGACAGACGCAACAACTGAACGGGAGACCCTTTCAAGACATGGGCCGTTGCACCAGGCCTTCGGCACAACTGCGTCAACTTCTTTGGGTACGAGAAGGCACCGAACGGAGTCATGCGTGCTTTCGGTCGCATGGGAACATCTGGGACCATCGGGAACCCAGGAGCGAAGGGAGGCACACTCGAGGCATGGGCGATTCCCCCATGCAACATGACTGCGGGGTGGAAGCCGTATCGCGCCAGATTGTGACAGGGAAAGGGGGGGGAGGAGAGGGATGACAGGGATGAGAGGGAGTAGAGGGATGAGAGGGAAGAGAGGGAGGCGAGGGAGGCAAGGGAGGAGAGGGAGCAGATAACAAAGGCCAAGGAAGGGGGGGAGGACGCTTCTAGTGTGGACCGTTGCGCGAGTCGCTTTGCCGAGCTGCATGGTATTGCCTTATGTGGCGGTTGAACCCCGTGTCGCGCATCAGGTGCGACACGTTGGCAACTACACTGGTCACCACTCATCAGGAGTAGCTGTGTCGTACAACTGTGCCTGAGCATGTGCCCAACCCTTGCGGCCGAACACAACTCAGTCGATCCGTATCTGGTCGTGGGCCACACCCATTAATCATGCTCAGCACCCATCAAAGCGCTGACTGCTATCAGCCTGCGTGGGCTCAACATTGCGACGATGACGTCAAGATCAAACAAGCTACGAAATAGTATCATACATCGATGCGAAGCCAAACTGTTTACACGTCTTGCGGTCTTAGGCGATGGCACGCATTGAAGGAGAACCAAGAGGAGGAAGATGACCAGGAGACGGTCGGACGGATGATGAATACTGAATACACGGAATGAAAGACGGCACGACTTGAAGAATGGACACCACTTTTGCTGTCACGCCATGCGGTATACAATCCGGCAAGCGGCCTAACATGCTCAATGTCACGATACGGCCCAATCCCGCCGTTGGCGAATCCCGATCTCAACAGCACGACAGACATGCGTTCCCGCCCTGGCTTCGGTGGACGCCTCCTCGCAGACACTTCAGCTCAAAGAACAACGACAGACACGAATTCGGAACACGCGCTCGACGAAACGGTGGGAGTTGGGTGGGTGGGTAAGTCGTGGTGAAGACCTACCCTTATGTCGGGCGTGTCCCCCTACAGGGGGATTTTCGACGACAAATAGAAAATAAACCAAAAATACCCCAACATGGGCAAACAAATGCTCAAACAAAATAGTCCTCAGACTACTTTTGGAGCATTGTTTGATTATTTTTGGGGTATCTTTGATTCTTCGTCGAAATCCCCCCTGTAGGGGGACAGGCCCGACTCAAACCTACCCGTGAGCACGCCTGCCCCAAGTCACACCAAAGTCGAGGATGGCTCCCAGGGCCTTCCACACGAGCAGACCAGGTCCAAACATCCAACACAGGGCAGGTTCTAATACATGAGATTTGTTTAATACATTTGACTTGTGATACACGATTAATTTACTCATAAATCATTGTTTTCAATACTAAATCCCTTTATTTTTGACACATGATCCGCACGCGGAGCATGTATTAAAAACGGCACTGTACAGTACCGCACTGGGGATGCACAGGTCCCCAAAGCGGAGCTTTCCAACCACTGCCGAATGGGAGGGCGGAAGGGGGAGAAGGGGCGAGAAAGACCGTGCTGTTGCCTCCCGGGGCAGAAGGGGGGGGGACTGGCCGACACTGGAAGCCTTGGGTTCGTCGGCGATGCTCTCCGTCGCGGGGTCGCCTTCTGCTTCCACCGCATCCGGGCAGGCATCCGCCGGCTGCCGCCGGCGGAGCCACCCGCGTGCAAGCTCCGCCCGCCTCTGGCGAGGGCAGGATGCGGAGGCCCTCGACCCCCGGAGGGCATCGCCCGCTGTCCAGGAAGAGCCCGGAGAGCAGGGCGCCGGAGAGGCGTGGGAAGACCCGCCGAAGAACACTGGAGGGCCCATGAGGAGGCGGAGGAGGAGGAGAAGGAGGAGGCGGAGGAGGAGGAGGAGGCGGAGGAGGAGGGAGGAGGAGGAGGAGGAGGGAGGAGGAGGGAAGCTTCCGAAGAAATCTTCTGGACCTTCGGAGTCCCCTGGGTGGCCAGACTTGGCGACAGCGGGAGGCGGGGGGAGGAGGCGGGAGCCCAGTCCTCCGGCCCACTCCCCTCCCTCTTGGGACGAGAAGGGCGCCCTGGTGAGGTCGCCTCGGGAGATGGAGCGAGACCTTGGAGCTTGCCCTTCCTATGGCCTCTTGCTCCTCTGGTTTCTCCCAGTCCACGAGTCCCAGAAAAGGACTCCGCCCCCTCATGGCGGGCAGCTCTTTGCATGGGGCCCATGCGCTGATGGCCCCCTGGGCGGGGCCCGAGGCAGGTCCACTCAGGGGCCGGATTTGTGCAAAAGAGCGGTGGGATTCACAAATGTTTGCCAGCGCGGACTCCAAGAGTGAGCTCTTGCACCCTGGGTGTGCAATCCCATAAGCCCTCTGAGCGTAGGTTGTTCAACGAGTTTTGTCTTATCTCCCCCTCCATCCCCTGCTCGGGGGAAGGGTTTCTCACTCTCTCCTATTCAGAACCCCCCCTCCCGCAGGCGGCCGGCAGCCAACCAGGACAAATGAGACCCCCCCACCATCCCTTTCAAAAACCATTGTGAAGTCAACTGTGGGGTAACATCTTGGGTAATGATCGGGGGGGGCGTGAACACTTCGCATTGCTTTTGACAGGAACGGCGGGGGTGCCCACATGTTTGCTGCTGCGCGCAGGGCCAGCATCCCTACCAAAAGCAATAGAACATGCACTTCGAGAAAAAATCTGGATCCTGCGCAGGCACCTCCGATCACTGTGCATTGGCTTTTGTCTGTGACAGCGGGAGTGCTGGCATAGTGCCTGCTATGTGCAGGCCAACCACACGCTATGATGGCCACACCGACGCGACTGCGCACTGGTTTTCGACAAGGGCTGTGGGAACGGTGGCGCGCGTCTCAGCCTGGGGTCCCATGGAGGCCATCAGGGGCCAGATACGTTGCCCCCTGGTGTTCTGATCATGGCTTCCCGTTCAGCTTCCATTTCCCTTTCGAGGCTGCCCCGTGCGCAGGCGCACCTGGCACGCTCGGCGCGTGCCCCGAACGTTGCGCACTGGAGCATGCGGCACACACGGCGCACGTGGATCACGTGGCGAATCTGGTGCACCTGGCGTCCCCCCGGCACGCTTGGGCCGCAGGGGTGCCTGGCGCAGCTGGCGCGCGTGGCGCGCCTGGCACGCACGGCGCACTGCGCCGCAATGCGCACATGGCGTCTGTTTTGGTTTTCATTAGCTGTCCGCAGGCGACCGCTGAACATGCTGCGGCTCGGGTGCTGCTCCTCTGCTGGGAGGGCGGGTGGGAGTCAGCGAGACGGCTTGAGGGCGGGGAAAGTGTCTAGACCCCTCCCACTACCCCCTCCCTTGGGTCTGGGAGAGGGGAGGGGCCGGGTAGGTAAAGCGCCCAAGATGACCCAAGATGGCTCCAGGAGGGCCCTCGGCAGCCCAAGAGGGCCTCCAAGATGGCTCAAGATAGCCGAAGATGGCTCAATATAGCCGCCGACATACCTACAAGCTGCCTTTGGAGCCTTCCTAGACACCCTACTAGAGGCCAAAACATTTCAAACACATGGAATTCTTGCATTTTTGCTTCCGGTAAACCTCTGAGGCCTCAAGGTGGCCCCAATATGTCCAAAGGGAGCCCCAAGAGGGGCCCAAGAGGGCCCCAAGAAGTACACAAGATGCCATTTTTGAGCCTCCGAGGGGGGGACCTGAATCAAGTACCCCCCTCTGTTTGAGCCATGGGGCCATGGGGGCCCACACGGCCCGACGAGACCTCCCAGACCCACCCAAAGGGCTCAAGAGGGTCCCAAGACGGCCCCAAGAGGGCCCCCTAAACGGCCCCAATAGGAACAAAACTGCTTCAAACATTGGGCCACCGAAGGGGGTCATCTACATTTAGGCTCCTCTCCTTCTGAGCCATCGGGCCCAATACGCGACGCGCCTAAGGCAACAGGCGAAGGAAGCGCCAGGAATGGCTATACGATGCCATCCGAACGAAATGCGCGCACATGTGTGGGTAGTGTATGTTGTGCGTGCGGCGTGGTGCAAGCCACGTGTTGCAACCCATGCGGTGCAAACGATGTGGTGCGACCTATGCGGTGCACCCTGGGAGGCGCACGCTACGCAGCGCAAATCTTAGGGGAACAAAACATGGCATACACATAAAACCTCGGAAGTCCGCGCGGATTTCTCGGATCGGCGCTTGGGCCCACCTCCCTGGCGCGCGGAGCGCGCCAGGGGCGGCGCCGGAAGCGCCGCTGGGGGGCCCCAGCGCCGATCCGAGAAATCTGCGCGGACCTCAGAGGTTTTATGTTTATGCCACTTTTTGTTCCCATAAATCTGCTGCGTGCACTTCTGTGTGGCGCAGTCCGTGCTTTCAGCCTGTGGGCTGCCACCCCTCTGCGCGTCCGGCGACGTCCGCGGACGGGAGCGCCGAGGGGGCGACCGCCCGGAGAGCACACGCGGCCGAGACACGCCTCGCGAGCACGCGGCGCCCACGGGCCGCGCCTGGCGAGAGCCCGCCACGACCGCTGCAGTCATGCGGAGCACGAGCGCACCCGTCCAAAGTGCAAGCGCTGGCAAGAAGACCGCAGCCCGCCAATTGTGACGCCCGAAATGGGTACGGAAAAGATGGGCACAATGCCCAACAACAAATGTTGTCCCAAACCAACAGTGGCCGCTGTTGGGCAGGCGGCCTTCTGTCTCAAATGGAGACAGGCCGCGGCGGCGCGGACAGCGAGTCCTGTTCAAGATGAACAGGAACTGCTGTTGGGCATTGTACCCATTCTTTCCGTACCCATTTCGGGCGTCCAGAGCCAGAGGCTTGAAGACACCTTGGGGAATGTTGGCCGGCACGCCCGAAAAAAGCACGGGCAAAAGGCATGCAAAATCACGATGCCCAACTTCAGCAAGCTGCCCCGAAACGGCAGCGGCCGCTGTTTGGCAGGCGACGGTCTGCCTCCAGCGGACGGCGTCCGCAGCAGTGCCGACATCGAACCCTGTTCAGAATAGGCAGCGAGCTGCTGCCGTACTTCGTCGCCGTCCTTTCAGTACCCCTCTCGACCGCACCGAGGGTAGGCGGCAGCAGTTGCAGCAGGAGGGGGGAGGTTAGGGGGGGACTGGCTCGTGGGGGGAGAAGCATCGACCTGGAATGGGTGACACATCGCCGATGGATCGGCCACAGGCTCTCGACAGCAAAGCCGCACGGTCCTGGGCAAGGTGGGTCATCGGGCCCCTAGCGGCAATGGACGTGCGACTCGAGGTCGACGCACCACCCCCTGAGCAAAACCCCCCGGGGCCATAAACTCGGCTTTCTGGCGGCCGTTCGGGGCGATGCGGGCATCGCCCGAACGTTCTCGGCGAAGCGCAGCTGCTAGAGAGCATCCCGAGGCCGGAGAACCTCAGAACCAACGAAGTCGTCCGAAAATCTCGAACCTCGATCCTCCTCCTCCTCCTCCTCCTCCTCCTCCTCCTCCTCCTCCTCCTCCTCCTCCTCCTCCTCCTCCTCCTCCTCCTCCTCCCCCAACGTCGCCCCCGACGCCGCCCCCGACGGCAGCGCAGCCCCACCGAGCCGACCGCCCCCCGGCGCCACCCGCCGAGGTGGGAGGCCGGCGCCGGCGGCGCGCCTCGAAGGCGCAGCTGATCGAGGTGTGCACCACGAAGTCCAGGCAGCGCAGCGCGGACGCGGCCACCTCGCGAAGGCGGGGCCCCCGCGAAGGCGGGCAAAGTCTCGGGCGAAGGCGGGGCCCCGACGCGGCCACGAGGTCTCGGGCGAAGGCGGGGCCCCCTCCGGGGGGGGGGGGGGCGGCGGAGGCGCCAGGCGCGGCGGTCTGCGACGCGGATCTGCCAGGTGCGCCCGTGCACGGCGGGTTCGCGTCGTGCCGAGCCCGGCGCTGGTTCCTAGCACCGCGGGGATCGTGCAGCCTTGGGCGATAGGCCGTTGTCGAAACGTCAGATCGTTGAACATCGAGTGACTCTGGGTCGCTGGCGGCGGGGTCGCCGCGGGTCGGCACGACGCGAACCTGCCGTAGTGGCATCCTGGCGCCTGCTCGGGCGTGCTGGCCTGCTTGGGGGGCCCCATTCCCCCCACACGCCGTGGGGGTCAGGTCGTCGATGGGGGGGGGGGTCCCTTTGCCGTCCTGTCCCTCTCCTGGCCCCAGGGGCCATCCAGAGTGGACCCTGGACAAAAAAGAATACACCACGCGAAATGGTTAAGAAATCATGGGTTAAGAAATTCATGGTCTCAGAACTTGAATAAAAACCCAACATTTCTATCAAAATCTTAGGATTTACATTGGAACGTTAAGAATAATCGAGACTCTGGACGAAAACTTAGGTTTTCTTAAGCATCGCCTAAGGTGTACCCCCCGAAAGGAGGAGCCCGTCGGGAAGTCCCAGGCCGTGAAAGGGGAACAAACACCATGAGAGGGGCAGGTCTCCTCGGACGGCGGCGGGGCTTCTCGGAGGCCTCCTCTGCCCTCTGAGGAGGCGCCGAAGGAGAGGAGGAGGAGGAGGAGGAGGAGGAGGAGGAGGAGGAGGAGGAGGAGGAGGAGGAAAGGGAGGAGGAGGAGGAGGAGGAGGAGGAGGAGAGGGCAGGAGGAGGCTTGGGAAGCTCCTCGAGACTTCTGGGAAGGCCCGCCCCCTCGGCCTTCCCCCTTCGGCACGCCACCGCAGAGGGGACGAAGAGGAGGAGGACGGGATAGGGGGCAGGAGTTTGACGGGAGGGGGAGAAGGAAGAGCACGGGAGGGAGAAGAGGACGAAGAGGAAGAGCACGGGACGGGAGGGGGGGGGGACGGGATGAGGGGGGGGGGGAGTGTGACGACCGGGAGAGAGGGAGGAGGGGCAGGCGCAGCATAGGACGAGGAGGAGGAAACGAAGCAGGGGCATGATGAGAAGGGCAGAGCACAGTGATCAGGAGCATATCGAAGATAACTGTGATGAGGAAGACATTGGCGGGGCGCTTGGGGAGAAGGCTTCTTGGGAGCAGGCTGCTTCGTAGACGGCCCCAGCCCTGCATCCATAAATCAGGCCCGCGCCTTCTACGAAGCAAAGGGTGCTTCTGCGAAACCTTGCCCCCTCCCCCTGCCCCCCCTGCGCGTGGCCGAGGACAAGGGTGATGCGCCAGAGGAGACGGAACAGCAATGGAGCGCGAGGAGGGAAGTGCGGAAGAGAAGGAGGGCGGGACAACCCAGAGCTCATTGTCATCCGCTTCGGTGCTCAGCCCAGCTCCTGCGTGCGCAGGTTTGCGCGGCATGCCGAGGGAACAACCAGAGCCCTCGCTCTCGGAACTCTGACTCTGAGCATCGTTTATGTGACCCCTGCCCACAACTGCGCGTCCTGGGCCCACTGCTGGCCGAGTTACCGCCTTCGGTGGGGATATATGATATGCCGACTCCTCTGGGCTTCGAGCGGTAAATGACCAACAGGGGTGCTGAGACTGTGGGGGTCTGGATGGGGATGGGGATGGGGATAGGGGTCGGTGAAACCAAGCTGAATACCTCGCATCGGTCAGGCCTGCAGAATCCAGCATCGCCCTCCTTCTCTTCCCCCACCTCCTCGGCACACCTCCTCCACCCCCTCCCTCGCTCCTTCCACCCCCTCCCTCTCCCTCCCCTCCCCCCCGCTCCTCCGAGACGCCCAGGGGGGTGCGGCACTCCTGGCACCACTGCGTCACCATCTCTGTCTTCAGCGTCTCGCTGACGACTGCGCAAAGCACGTGCACCTCCGCCCGCCCCCCTTGCGGCCCCGCCGCGCAGTCGCATCTGGCGCCCGTCGGCCTGCGGAAACCAAAGGAGGATTCCGAACGGGCCCTGGGACACACAAATAAATCCACACAAACAACCTGATTCCCCATAGTTTCCCATTTTTCCTGGTTTTTGTCTTCCCCCCCACTTCCCATATTTTCCTATATTTTCGGGTGAGTCGACGATTCATTGTGTCTGTGTGTTTTTTTACCTCCTGAGATGCGCCCGTCGAGCCCGAGTCAAAAGCATCGGCTGACGCGATGCTGGCCTCAGAAGCCGGAGGCCGCTGCCTGGGCCACACCTCCCACACAACCATCGAGCCACCTCTGCGAATATAGCCTCATGCACGTCTGAGGGGGGCGGGTGGGGGGGGTGAAGATGCCGGACCGGCCTCGCGGGTTCCGATGGAGAGAGCCGCCGCTTGGCGAGGCAGACGCATCGAGGGCCCCTGCGGATCGGCGCGGTGCCGCCCGGCACAGGAGCAGGACACCACTTCAGTGGCCAGCCATGATGAGCGAAATGTTCCACCGCCTCTGCCATATGTAGGACGGGGAAGAGGGGAGGTTGGGGAGGTCCTCCTCCTCCCCTCCTCCTCCTCCTCCTCCTCCTCCTCCTCCTCCTCTTCCCCCTCCTCCTCCTCCTCCTCCTCCTCCTCCTCCTCCTCCTCTTCCTTCCCCTCCTCCATCTCCTACCCATGGTAGTAGTGGTGGGAAGTCGGCCCATCAAGCCAAACCTCTCATGCTCATCCACGGGCGGCTTTCGTAACACGGCTGGCTGGCAGGTCCTCCCCCACTGGGCGCCTGACGGCAGCGTCAGGGACAGAACGGCGCCCGAGTATGGCCACGTGTCATGGCCCTCCCCGTCCCCACGTCAATCCGATGCCACCCTGGAAACCACTTCTGGGCGGGTCTTCGTCGACGGGGGGCCGTGCACAGGGGAGGAGGAACGCGCACCTTTCTAGGCCCGCGGTGGCAGGCTAGGAGCCATTCAAAGCACCTGTGCCACTCTCCTTGAGCAGGGGCCGACCGTCCCGGCATTTCTATAGTCCTACCACGAAATAATCTTAGAACCCAAAAATGTTCGAATAACAAAAACAAGTTTCTTAGAACGTAAGCCCGACGTGTCCAAACAAGACAGACTCCGCCAGAACTGTTCTAAGAACATTTCGTGCAATCCACTAAAAGTTCTTAGAACATTGTTTGGTAGGGCTATAGGCGCGCCAGGACGCTTCGCCACTGCTTGAATTCTTCCGCCCGGGCCCAGCTGATCTTTGAGGAATGCTGCTGAAACCCCAGCCATGGGGCAACAGTCGCGGACCTGGCTGGCGAGGCGCCTCGCCGAGTGCCCCACCGAGAGACCCATGGCCTGTGGCGATGCCCGCCTCCCGCTCCTCCTCCTCCTCCTCCTCCTCCTCCTCCTCCTCCTCCTCCTCCTCCTCCTCCTCCTCCTCCTCAGTGTCCTCAGTGTCCTACCAAAGCGAGTCCAGCAAAACCAGCCGAACTAGCTTAACCTGCTGCCGAGCAGGACCGACCCCGAAGCAGGAAGCCTATGCCTCCTCGACCTCGGGCCCCGACGAATTTCCCCTCTCGTCGGGCCCCTTCGTTGGGCCCTCCGCCGAACGGGGCGCCGAAGAGGGGGAAAGGGAACCCCCAGAACCTGTTGGACTGGGGCTCCCGTCCAGACCCCAGTCGCCCCAACGCCATTCTGGCCAGACGGGCCGCCGACCGAGGACGGGAGGCGAAGGGACGGCAGGGGCGACCGAGGTCGTGGACCTGTCTTCTGGCATAGGCCCCGCAGACTCTACAGAAGACGATCAACCCCCTCCCATTAGCCTCGTCACCAGGCCCCCGACCCCCATCCCCACGCACAACCCAGAGCTTATGGGAGGGGTGGGCGATCGCCGCGGGCCGAGGCATTCCTGGGCAGGGAGACGAAACAATCCTAGATCGGAGCCCCTTCCGAACCCCGCAGATTTTACATCCCCAGGCCCGTCCAAACCTCAGAAGCGAGTGCCCGCGCTCGCCCGAAACAAGGACGACATAATTGCGGGACGGCCTGGGGCAGGGGAGGGGGCTCCGATCGGGCCAGCCTAGGCCTGCCAACCTTTTCAAGACCGCTCCGTGCTGGGCGGCGATCAACTCCGCGGCACGTGTGGCCGCGCTCACCATGCTCGCCCTCTCCATCACGGCCTCGAACGACGGGTGCAGCCTGGGGCCCTCCTTGGCCTTGCTGTCCGCGCACTTGTTGCCGCGGTGCCAGGCCCAGGGCGTCCCCGCCGACGCTGCCGCGGCCCAGCTGGCGTGGGCTCGGACCCACCGTAGGCAGAACGCCTCTGGCCCCAAGTCTCTGATGTGCCTCCAGGCCTCCTTCCACAGGTCGGCGTTGAGCGACTCTGGGCCCTGGCACCAGTCCTCTCCTCTTTCGTAGTCCTCCACCAGCCGCAGGTAGTCCGTGACCACGTCCAGCTGGGGGGCCCTTTTCCCTGAGCACTCGCACCAGCGCGTAGAGCTCGGCGCGGCCGCTCTCCTGGACGGGCCCTGGGACACTTCCGAACATCCCGCCCGTGATGGTGCCGTCAGCCTCCACCATGATGCAGGACCACCCGCTCCTGGTGAGCTCCTTGGCCTCTGGGGCCATCGCCGAGCCGTCGATGCAGACCGTGCCGCAGGCCAATCCCCCGATGAAGGCTCCTCCTCGGCGGCAAGCCTCCTGCTCCGCATGCCTCGGAGCCCTCTCCAGGCCGAGGCTGACCAGGCACCTGACGAGCCCGATGTCGCCGTCAGGGGCTGCCGCGCCTGCACTCCTGACCTGCTCCAGGTCCATGGCCGCCGCGATGCCGCTTGTGCCGTCGCAGCAGAACAGACGGTGCTTCTGCGCCCCCGGCTCCGCGCCGCACAGCCTGCACCCAGGCCTAAGCACTGCCCGTTCGCGAAACAGATCAGCTTCCGTCACCAGGCCGCCGCAGACCAGCGCCTCGAACAGCGCCACCTGCTCGCTGTCTCCCTGCCTGCGCAAAGCCGCGACCGCCCGCTGGGTGACCTGGATAGTCGGCGGCCCGCCAAGCGCTCCTTCAAGGTGCTCGCTGTGCAATCTCATCATCATCGAGCGCTGGATCCCCGCCTCGATGAACTGCCGCATCCTCCTGGGGCTGTAGACCTTCAGGTCGAGCTGCTCCCCAGCGTCCGTGACCCAGCATCTCCAGCCAGCCGCTGCGGCAGGCTCCCACCCAATCCTGCGGAGGGTGAGCTTGACTGCGTCGGCTGGCCCTCGCACCTGGCCCCAGGACTCTGGCTGCGCCGCGCTGAAGGCCTTCTCGAGGCTCCCGTCACTGCACAGGCCAAGGAAGACCGCCTTGGCCCACGCCTCCAGTGGTAGACTGTTGGCCGCGAAGACGGAGTCCGCCTTCCAGCCCTGGTCAGGCTGCAGTGCGAACTGCAGCGTTCTGCTCTTGCTGCCCACTGCCCCCGCCAGCGCCTGGCCATTGACCGCCCTGGCCTTCTCGAGCATCGCCGTCGGGGCCCCGACGACCCGAGCTCCGTGGAGGACCGAGGCCAGCCCGCCACTCCTGAAGATCCTGCCCAGCTTTGCGCCCGCCCGCCTGAGCGCCATGTATCGTGACGAGCGGACGGCCAGCCTAGCCACGCGGCTCCTCAACACCGACCATGACGCCCTGGGCTTCATGCCGAAGTCGACGCCCAGGTTCTTGACCGCCCGACGCAGCCTGAAGTCCCAGCGCCGCAGTCGGTGGGACGCGCGCCGTCCTGCACTCTCGTCGCTGCTCACGATGTTGCCCTTCGTCAGGGACACCTTGAGCCCCAGCGCCTCCAGCCTCTGACAGAAGTCTCTGGTCGCGCCGAAGGCCGTGAACTCCACATCCCTGAGCTTCCCGCAGACGGCCAGCGCGATGTCGTCGACGACCACGTAGGCCCGCAGCGACGTCCACTGGGCCACGACCGCGTCCATCGCGGTGAGGAGCACGACCCTCAGGAGCGTCGTCGCGTACCCGCATCCCGCAACGATCGAGCTCCCGATTCTGATCGCATCCGTCTTCCAGCGGCTGAGACTGAGCCTCCTCGGGCCGCCGTAGCTGCGGAGGACCAGCTTCAGCCTGCGCAACCTGAAACCGTGGCGGCGAGCAGCAGCAACCAGCCCCTCGTGAGCGACCCGCTCGTAGGCCTTCGAGAGGTCCGTCATGGTTGACATGGAGTGCTGCTCCATCGCCGCCGCCACGCTGGCATCGTGGGCCTTGAGCCAGACCGCGTCCTCACAGGACTTCCCCGCCCCTCCGAAGAAGTAGTCCCGCCTATGCGCCGACTCCCACTCGACCGCGTCGATCCTGCGCAACCTCCCCAGCAACCGAATGAGGCTGCAGAGGAGCCCAATCGGCCGCCAGCCTCCGTCGGGCTTCGCCAGGAAAAAGACCAGCAGGGTGTTCACCTGCTCGGGCATTCGGCAAGATGCCTCTAGCACCAGCAGCAGCAGCCCGAGCGCTTCCAGTCCTCCGTCGCTGAGGTGGCCGAACGCTTGGGGCTTGATGGCGTCCACCCCGAGAGCCGTGGACGGCTTGAAGGAACGCGCCGCCTTGCGGATCTCCTCTGCCGTGGGCACCTGCCCTAGCCCCTCTAGGTGAGCCTCTGGCAGAGCCTCTTCAAGGTCCATCGGCTGGATCTCGCCGTGCTGCCAGATGTTCTGGTACCCCTCCAGCAGAATGTCGAGGGTGGCCGCGATACCTGCAGGCCCGTCGTCGCCATCCTGGTCGGCTGTCCAGCCCTGCGGCGCTTGGCAGAAGGCGTGGGCGGCCCCTCCGCCGTCCCGCACCGCCTCCTTGGCCCAGGCGCGCCAGCGCAGGTCTCGACCTTTGGCACAGCCAGCCTCGAGCCGACCTGCGATCTCCCTGGCCTCGGCCTCGAGCTCCTCGACCTCCGCGAAGGTGAGCTCCCACATCCTCCGAAGCCGCCTCCTCCACTTGGCAGCCTCAGGCGCGCTGAGGGCTTCGCCTCTCGCGTGCACCGACGAGGCCAGCTTGCTGCCCATCTTGGCGTGGATGGCCTCGAGCTGTTGGCAAGCCGCGGCCCTGGCGCTCGGCAGGTGCAGACGCCTCCTCGTGACCAGCTCCTCCCAGAGCACCGCGCCGACTCTGCGCCAGTGGGCCGCCTCTGGGGACCCGCGCGCGTGGGGGCCACTGCTGGGCAGGAGCACCTCCTGCTTGACAAACCGTGGATTGGCCTCTCGCTCCTCCTCCTCCTCCTCCTCCTCCTCCTCCTCCTCCTCCTCCTCCTCCTCCTCCTCCTCTCCTCCTCCTCCCTCCTCCTCCTCCTCCTTCCTCCTCCTCCTCCTCCTCCCCTCCTCCTCCTCCTCCTCCTCCTCCTCCTCCTCCTCCTCCTCCTCCTCCTCCTCCTCCTCCTCCTCCTCCTCCTCCTCCTCCTCCTCCTCCTCCTCCTCCTCCTCCTCCTCCTCCTCCTCCTCCTCCTCCTCCTCCTCCTCCTCCTCCTCCTCCTCCCTCCTCCTCCTCCTCCTCCTCCTCCTCCTCCTCCCTCCTCCTCCTCCTCCTCCTCCTCCCTCTCCTCCTCCTCCTCCTCCCCTCCTCCTCCTCCTCCTCCTCCTCCTCCTCCTCCTCCTCCTCACCCTCCAACGTTTCCCTGCTGCTCCTCCCCCTCCCCCCTCCCCCTCCCCCTCCTCCTCCTCCTCCTCCCTCCTCCTCCTCCTCCTCCTCCTCCTGTTCCTCACCCTCCTCCTCCTCCTCCTCCTCCTCCTCCTCCTCCTCCTCCTCCTCCTCCTCCTCCTCCTCCTGCTCCTCCAACGCTTCCTGCTGCTCCCCCCGCTGCCCGTTCTTTCTACTTCCCCCCCTCCCTCAACTTCCAATCCCTCCCTCTGCGCCCGCTCCCGCTCGGGCGGGGAGGACGACGCGGGGCCGGGGCTCCGCCGACTGCCCGGGCCGCCACACTGGCTCGCAGCTGCGCCGGCTCGCCAGCAACCATCTCCTGCCCTCGACCTCCTTCTTCGGGGCAGCGAGCAAGGATTAAAGAACACAAGCAGCTCGGAGGTCCGCGCGGATTTCTCGGATCGGCAGGGACCTCTGATTCTTTATTGTTGTGTCAATGCTCGTTCCCCTTCTGATCTTCCTGCCTCCTGTGATACTCTGGTTCCTCCTCGTTCCCGGTCTCTCCCCCCCTTGCCTCCCAGACCTTCTTGTCGACCCCCGGGGCCAGATTTGGAGCATGTTCTGACCAGAAGATGTCGAGGCGGATCTGGTAGTGGCGACGATGGGGCCACCCCACACGGCCCACCACAAGGACATCTCTGAATGGCTCCAGAGACCTCCCTCGAGGTCCTTCGACGGGCAAGCTCCTCCAGGTCCTCAGGCGAGAATTCATACTGACCGTTGACGATGCCGAGAAGCTCGTCGTCATCGACCAGAGAGAGGGACCCGTCCTTGCCTGCAATAGTGTCCCGCAAGCTGGTACCCACGGAGGCAGCAAAAGAGGCTGGAGGCTCAGGACCAGCACGAAGAACAGACTTCTGCAATTCCGCACGCAGCTCTTTCTGCAAATTGTCTTGCTCCTCGAGGTCCGAGTGTGACACCTCGAGCTTTGCCTCGCAATCTGCAAGCCACTCTTGGGCCTTCTCGACATTGGTGATGGCATTGCCGAGGCGCTCCTCGAGGATCTGGACCTTCTGGAACGCCTCCACCGCCTAGCGCTCCGGTGGCTTGACCACTGGTTCATTGGACTCGGCCAGCTTCTGCCTGCTCCAAGAGTTAGAATGTTTACGAGCCTGCTCATCCCCGAATTGACGGACATAGAGAAGAGTTCGTTGATCTCATCAAGCGTGATTTCCTTGGGCATGTCGGTCGCACCATTGACAACAAGCAGGGCGCGCGGCGGTCCACGCTGCCAAACACCGTGAAGGCGGGGTCCGTCAGAGGCCTCAGCATCAACACGAGACCGTGCGCAGTGCTTGCACAGCTTGAAACAAGACTGGCTCTTGCCACATCCCAAGTCGGCGTAGGAGCATGTCCACCGCTGTTGACCGCTTAGTTGCCATGGTAGTTCCAGGGCGGCGTCAAGCCCGCCATGGAATGGGATCTGAACTGGGCGAAGCAACCGAGTGCCGTACCACATAGGCCTGCTGCCATCCAACCGTTCTGAAGCGTCGGTGGCAACAAACTCTGGAACAACCCCTGAGAAAAACGGTTTGGGAATACTCATGGAAACAACCCATCCTCTTCCGGGTGCGGGCCTCATCCCCATACTTCCGTGCTGGTTTAGTTTGTCTCTGCTGCCCAGAGTGTTCATCTCACAGCAACCAGCATCATTTTCCCTGCTCCCATCTCACCTCATGTCATCACATCTCACATAAATTCAGACCATGTCATAGTATGCACACCATCCCCTCTCAAACCATCAAACCGTGCAGCATACCATATCATATCATCTCATGTCATCTCATCGCCTCCTCCTCCTCCTCCTTCACCTCCGCCTACCTAAGCCTCCTCATCATTATTCCTCCTCCTCCTCCTCCTCCTCCTCCTCCTCCTCCTCCTCCTCCTCCCTGAGCCTATCCCCTCTCTGAGCCTCCGCCTCCGCCTCCTCCTTCCCGTCCCTGGTCCCTGAGCCTTCTCCCTGAGCCTTCTCAGCATCCTTACCTCCCCCTCCTCCTCCTCCTCCTCCTCCTCCTCCTCCTCCTCCTCTTCCACCACCTCCTCCTCCTCCTCCTCCACCAACTTCTCCTCCTCGTCCCTTGTCCCTGGGCCTTCTCACTGAGCCTCCTCCGCCTCCAACTCCTCCTCCTCCTCCTCCTCCCCCTCCTCCTCCTCCTCCTCCGCCTCCTCCTCTCCGCCTCCTCCACAACTTCTCCTCCTCCTCGTCCCTGGTCCCTGAGCCTCCTTCGCGTCCTCTTCCTCCTCCTCCTCCTCCTCCGCCTCCTCCTCCTCCGCCTCCTCCTCCTCCGCCTCCTCCTCCAACTCCTCCTCCTCCCGACGCCCCGATCGAGAGGATCACATCGTCGGCGATCTGGGCCCCTTCCTCCTCCTGGGCCCCCCTGGGGCGCCACGTGCGGCTGCAGCGACGACAGCACCGTCTGCGCGTCGTGCGGCGCGCCGAGGGCGTGCATCCGCGGGCGGGGGGAGGCCTGCAGGTCAACCTCGTCGGAGGGGGGGGGGGGCGGCGGAGGGTCCCTCCCCGGCTGCTGCGGCTGCGGCTGCTGCTGCGGCTGCCCCTCCCTCCCTCCCTCTCCTCCTCCCCTCCCTCCCGCCTCCCTCCCCCCTTCCCTCCCTCCCTCCCTCCCTCCCTCCCTCCCTCTTCCTCCTCCTCCCTCCTCCCTCCCCCTCCTCCCTCCCCCCTTCCCTCCCTCCCTCCCTCCCTCCTCCCTCTCTTCCTCCTCCTCCCTCCCTCCCTCCCTCTCTCCCTCCCCCTCCCTCTCTCCTCCCTCTCCCTCCTCCCTCCCTCCCTCCCTCCCTCCCCTCCCCTCCCTCCCTCCCTCCCTCCCTCCCTCCCTCCCTCCCTCCTCCCTCTTCCTCCCTCCCTCCCTCCCTCCCTCCCTGCCTCCCTCCGTCCCTCCTTGGGAGGCAACTCCTGGGAGGCCTGCGTCAGCACAAATCTCGGGCAAAGGCACTCAGGCTGGAACAAGCCCAGGACTGAAGCGGAGTGGGCGGGATTGGCCTGGTCGAAAGGGGGGGCGGCGGAGGGTCCTCATCCTGCTCCTGCGGCTGGTGGTGCTGCTCGATTCCTTTTCCTGGTCAATGAACCCTCCCTGTCCACCCCGAGTCCAGTCGGAAGGGCGGGCTGGGCGTTTGGAATGAGCTTCACGGATGGAGGGCGGGTGGTCTTCAACATGTGGCTCTCGCCTAAGCGCCGCGCACACTCGCCCCACACATCTGCCAGAGTTTCACGGGTTGATGGGGGCAGGTGGTTTTCAAAATGCGGATGTCGCTCGCTTGGCAAACATGCAAAAACTTCACGCATTGAGGGCGGGCATTTTTTCAACATGTGGTACTCGTATTGGCACCGCGCAGGAATCGTCTCAAGCATTTGCAAGAAATTCGTGGGTTGAGGGCGGGCCGTGTTCAAGATGTGGCTCTCGCCTCAGCGCCAACACATTCGTTTGCAAAAGGTTCCCGGATTGAGAGCGAGCCGTTTGCAAAATGCGGTTTCCGCCTTTAGCGCCGCGCACATTCCTTTTCAGAGATTGCAGCAGTTTCACGGGTTCTCATGGCTAGCGTACCAACAACGGCGCTTTGGAACGATCCAGGACTGGCAGGACGCAACAGTCACGTTGATTCGCGGTGTTGAGGTCCCAAGAATGACGTTCTGGCACACCTCGGGGTCGTCAAGACGCAGCAGTCAAGTTGATTCGTGGCGCTGAAGTTCCGAGAACTGTGTTTTGGCACGCTTCAGGATCTTCCAACGGTTGTCTCCCAAAGGTGCACTCACTTCGCTGACTGGAACCTCAACCCTCGCAGGGGCCTGAGACGAGGGAGCTTGGATGGAGGGTTTCTTCCAACATCGTTGATGCGCCCTTGGTTTACACAGGTCCAGATCTTCTTCTTCGGCAATCCACCGCGAGGTCCTCGAATCAGTCACGGCGAACGAAGCCGAAACGAAACAATTGGACGGGCCACCCCGACTCGTCAGGCCAGGCTTTATAGCCTGGAGGCAACCGGCCCGCGGCCAAGGACCTGATTACACGAGCCCAAAACTCACCCCGAGTCATGGGCTCGCAGGCCTACACGGGTCCAGCTCCTCCTCCTCCTCCTCCTCCTCCCGTCCCTCCCTCACTCCTTCGGAGGTAGCTCCTGGGAGGATCTTCGTCAGAAAGAATCTCGGGCAAAGTAACTCGTTCAAGGGGCCGCTCGGCCGACATAGACTAAATTAAGCCCAGAACTAATCCGGATCGGGCGGGAGTGATCCGCATTAGCGGAAGTCGCCCGGATCGGACGGGATTGGGCCAGATTTGGCAATATTTCGACCAGGGATACACCAGCGCCGATTCTGAATTCAACCGCCCAGAATTTGCGTCCCAGCTCTCCTTCCCAAGACATGCTCGCACCAAAAACAGAAAATCACGACGGGAGGTTTTGACAGTTTTCGGCCTCCAGGGGCCCTGACCAGGCCCCAAGACCGTCGAGAACGACTCGGGATGAAAAATGTCCTGGGGAAAGGGTCTAGACCTCCGGGGGTCCACGTTGCGCAGTGACCACAAAGTCGGAGCTGTGGGTCTATATTTGTCCGTCCTCCGGTCTCCTTTTTTAGATGCTCTACCTTCTTTTAGACCCTCGCTCCGCTGATGCGGCAATGCTGCGTCGAACGTCCGTCGACCCGAGTCGAATGTGAGTCGAGCCTAAGTCGAACTTGATCCAAGCTGGAGTCGCAAAGACCCGCGAGGTGGGCCTCAGGAAGGCCCCCCGAACGCACATCCAACCTCCCCCTTCCCTTCTCTCCGCTTTCGCTCCTCCCCGTCGCTCGCCCAGACGTGTCGGTGATTAGCCAGATGGGCTGCGCGTCTCGCCCGAGCCTTTTCCCGTGATGCAGAGGGCTCGGATTCTCGACAACTCGAGGGAGGGAAGACCAGTCGCCCTCCAAAAAGGGGGTTCTCCCCTTGGCGCCGTGCGCACTCGCCGTAGGATGCCGCGGCCATCTGGAAGACGGTGGTTCGGGGGGTCGTAGTCAGAAGTGGGCCCTCGCCGCAGCGCCGAGAACAACCCGTCGCAGACGCCTGCAGACACGACGGGGACGGAGGTCGGCTCCTTCTCAGAAAGAGGGCTTCCGCGTGGGGCGCTTGCCTTGCACGGACGCGAATGCACAAAGCGCCCCATCGCCATCGCGCGAAGGACGCGAGGAAAAAAGCGCAACAGAAATTGGACGCGATGTTCAAGTCGCTCCATCGCCTGAACATACGTGCGGGTGGACGGCGGTTCCTTCTCACAGTGGGGCTTTTGCCCGAGCGCCGTGCACGTTCGTCCTAAAATCTTGCAACATATTCATGGCTGGGGGAGGTAGTTTCCTCTCGAACGCAAGATTTGGATCTCGCCGTAGCTCCGTGCACGATCGTCTGTTACGCTGGCAAAATTGGAGGGATGGATGGCGGCGCTTTTTTTCAATGAGAAAGGGCTTACGCCTGGGACGTCTTCGCATTCTGAGACCAGGCACTTGAACAGATGTACCAACTGCGTGCGTGGAGCGCGGTTTCTTTAGAACATGTGGTTCCCACTCTCGCCATCGCTCGGACGTCCATTCCCTGTGTTTTTTTCGGTTTCGTGCGTGGTCTTTTCGCCAAATGATCAAGGATGCTCCTCGATGGTCCTCGCCGAGAACAAATGCACACGCCCGAGCGATGCCAGGCACTTGAGACTCTTCGATCTGCGAACTGCATGACCAGAAGAGTAAACTGGCAAAGCGGTCGCATAGATTGAGGCGCTCGTTCTTCAAGAAGGGGGACCTCGCTGCAGAGCTCGCTGGCGTGCATGCCAATGCCCATACAGTCGGGGTGTTGACCTAAGGAACCCTAAATAAGGAACGAGGCCCCTTTTCTCCACAAGTTAAGCTCCATTGCCAATCGACAACCAAAGGAAAACCGAAGGCAAACTGCAAAACAGCTAAGGAACACTGAGCCCCTCCCAAACGAATAGGGTTCCTTCTTCAGCACCCCGACTGTACCATCGCAATCGAGACGAACCGATGGTACGAATGGCAGCCCTGCGCCTCAACGAGGAGATACGGTCGGGGCTGGGGCAGAAGGACATCCTTCGAGAACATGAGAACCTCCGCTGGCCAAAACACCCCAAGCCATGAGGTTACTCGAGGGCGCTCTCCCCCAGGGTGCAACATAACATCCAACAATCACGGAGAACATTCAAGTAACCCTCCCCGAACCGACCTCGATCTTATACCTCGGCCCGACCGTACTCACATGCCGGTGTCAATGACACGTGACCCGTCGCTACCAACGCCAGCGGCAGAACCGGCTCCACATCGAGGCCGACGCGGGCCACGCCTTCTCCACCCATGGCCCCCAGTGACTGGCAGGGCCCTTCACCCATGAACGCTCGCGCCCGCGCTGCCGTCGCATTGAAAAAGCCGCGAAGAAGCCTGGGCCCAGCTGGTGCGACTTTAACCTGGCACCGCGCTCGCTTGACCTGTACAGCGCAGCCAGATCGCAAAGCTGCGCGATGCGGACGCAGGGCCCTTGTACGCCCAAGCTGAAGACGAAGCTGGAAACCGTGCCTGAGGGCCAGCACGGGCCAAGAGGCAAGGATGCCAGGGCACCCTGGGAAGGCAACTCGTCCTTGCGACGTGGTTTGGGGGGTGCACAGGGGAACACGAGGACCCACACATCTAACGACATGTGCAACCGTAGAAGTCCCGACGCCTTCCCCGGAAGTGCTCTCCCGTCCCAGGTTCGCTGTCGATGGCCCCGTGGCCCGAGAAAAGGGGCCCCAGCGGCCGCCGTCGATGAGGAACGCCCAGACTAAAGCATCAGACCGTCGATGAGGAACGCCCAGACTAAAGCATCATACCTTCGGAGATCTGGCGAGGAGGTGGAGGGCTCGAGGAGGCGGGGTGTGGTGTGCATTCTCGTGGTCGCGGCGCTGGCGGTCGCCCAGCACGGTCAGGCCGCGAGAGGGCACGCTGGCACCGAGGCGGCGGGGTACAGGAGAGGGGGGCGGCCGCGGAGAGGGAACCGCATCTGGGCGTGGGGCTCAGGACTGAAGGGGCCCCAGGACGCACAAATAAATACACACTGATAAAAACATTCCCCATCTTTTCCAATATTTTCTGGGTCTCTGTCTTCCCCCCACTTCCCATATTTTCCCACATTTTCGGGGGAATCGAGGATTCATTGTGTTTGTGTGTTTCTTGCCCTCATGAAGGGCATGCGGTTCTTCACGCCGGTGCTGCGGCCCAGGCTCTCGGCGGGAGCCGGTCGTGCAAGGGCCCCTCGGGGAGGAGGCTCGGGGAGGGGCAGAGGGAGGCTGTCCACAGGAGGGGGGAGGAGGGGGAAGCGGGGGGGGGGAAGGGTCGAGGCAGAGCGGAGGAGGAGGCGGAGGCTCGGGCGTGCCAGGTGCAGCTGCGTCGCCAGGTGGAGGGCGGTGAGGACGGCGCTGAGGTTCTGGTCGCGGAGCGGGCCGCCGCTGTGCTCTATCATGCAGTCCTGGTCCCCCCCCCCCCCGAACCGCCGGGAGGCATCCAGAGGCTCGCAGGCCGAAAGCAAGGCAAACACACAGGTCGTCCTCCGCCTCGAGCCTGGACCCTGGATCTTTTTCTCGCTGCGACCCCCACCTCCCCTCTGTTTGGAGTCTCGAGACGGTGCGGTGACAGATCGTGCGATGACCTGGAAATCCCCCAGACCTCACCGCACGGGTCCGTCACCGCACGGTTTTGGGACCTCGGAGGCCCCAGTCGCCCGAAACATCGTCCCCAAACCGTGCGGTGACCCCGAATCCCCACCGACTCACCACACGGTGTGGTCACCACCCCGTTTTTTTGGACGCCCGAAATGGGTACGGAAAGAATGGACACAATGCCCAACAGCAAATGTTGTCCCGAACCAACAGCGGCCGCCGTTGGGCAGGCGGCCTTCTGTCTCGAATGAACACAGGCCGCGGCGGCGTGGACAGCGAAACCTGTTCGAAATGAACAGGAACTGCTGCTGCGCATTGTACCCATTCTTTCCGTTCCCATGTCGGGCGTCCAGAGTTTCGGGAGCGGCCAAGAGGGGGGTGTCCAAGAGGGGGGGGTGCAAATCATGACCGGCGGCATGTGCGCGGCCCAGCGGGGGGGCCTGGGACGTAATGAAATAAGAAGAGGCGCCGTGAAATCTTCGGAGATATCATGGCCCGCGCCATGATATCCCCCCCCCTAGTCATCACCCCCCTCTTTTCCGCCCCCGAGAGTTTTGGGGCCCCCGAAACTCCGAAACTCCTCTGGCTGTAAAGAGATCGCGCCGGGCAGTGTGTGATAATTTTGTCGGCCTCCTGGGGCTCACCAGGCCCTGGGACCGTCGACCAAGAACGACTCGGGAAGGAAAGCTGGTCCCCAGGGTGATGATGCTCCAACCTACTCGAGCCTTGGCCACCACAGAGAACTTCGAGCACCCCAAAACACATCGAAGCTCGAGGGCTTGCACTTGTCGGGCCCTGGGAGACACTCGCCCGACACTGTTTCGACACTCTTTCGACACTCGTTCGGCACTCTTCCAGGTGCTCGAAATTATTTCTGGGATGTGGTCTCTAAGCCGGATGGGAACAACATAACTGAAGGGGCCCTGGGACGCACAAATCAATACACACAAATAACCGTATTCCCCATATTTTCCAATATGTTCTGAGCTTCTGTCTTCCACCCCACCTCCCATCTTTTCCCATATGTTCTGGGAACCGACCATTAATTGTGTCTGTGTTCTTTCCCCTCCTGAATAACCCCAGGGCGGGGTCCAGACCTCCAGGGACCCACAGTAAAAAAACACAACAGCATCGCAGAGGCACAACTTCGGAGCTCTGGGTCGGTCCTCGATCCTCGGTCCTCCTCGCTGCGACCTCACGGAGGAGGAGGAGGAGGAGGAGGAGGAGGAGGAGGAGGAGGAGGAGGAGGAGGGGGAGGAGGAGGAGGAGGAGGAGGAGGAGGAGGAGGAGGAGGAGGAGGAGGAGGGATCGTCGGCAGCCGCCGCCCCTCGCTCCAAGACCGACTGGCTCGATGCGTGAAGATGCCTGGGGCGGAGTGGAGGCAGGAGGAGCAGCAGGGCCCGGCGGAGAGGGTTCAGGGGACGGAGAATCCGAGCTGGAGTGAATAAGGGGGGGAAGTGACTCGGGTGTCGCCTTCGGTGAGCCTGGCCAGAGGTGGCCCCAGATTTGCCGAGGAACCCAGACGGCCTGCGAAGCATCCCTCACGAGGCCAAGGGAGCCCCAGGAACGGCAGCACCTGTGGCTGGTACAAGGACCGTGCTAACAGCATAAACGCGTAATAGGGAACGAATGGGGGTTTTCTGGCCACGGCGGGCCTAGGCCACAAATATGTTCCACGACAAACTTAAGGAACTACACGAACATCAGAGCCTCTCTGGAGCCCAAGGCGGTCCTTGTTTCAGCGTGTTCATTGTTGGTCACCACAGAGCTTATACAACACAGCCTCGGCAACAAAACAGCAGAGCTTCCAGCCGAGACGACCTGCGTGTCGTTCTGACGCCTGCCCGCTTCTGTGACAACGCCCACAGGACCCCTGCTAGGACAGGCGCACTGCTCGCCCTCCCCAACCCACCGCGACTGCATGCCTTATGCTGCGAGGAGGACGAGGAGGAGACTCCCCATCGCCGCATATAGACTGCAGACAATCCACCTCGATAACAAGCACCCCGACAAGCGAAGCCGTGTAGTAAACGCACCCGAAGAAGGAATCGAACATGGTGGGGTTGTTTAGTAAACGCCCAGGGCCGCTTAGTAAACGCCACTTGCCGGGGACTGGGTGCTTTTTCCTCACTTGAGCATACGCAGGGGAACCTTTTGCTTAGCGTGTCGCCCGGGCGGCCCCGACGCCACGGCATGCCTGGCAAGCGGAAGGCGTGTCGCGCCGCTCCGCCGGGCGGAAGGCTGGGACAAGCGCGGCTCGTGGGCGCCCGGGGACCAGGATGCGGATCGCGTACCGCGCCGCAGCGTGGTGGGCCAGGACTGGCGGAGAGACGTGCTAACCCAAACCTTCCCAACCGTATGTCTTCTTCCTTTTAGGAGGGGGAGGAGGGGGAGGAGGAGGAGGAGGAGGAGGAGGAGGAGGAGGAGGAGGGAGGCGGGAGGAGGAGAGGAGGAGGGGGGGAGGAGGGAGGAGGAGGAGGAGGAGGGGAGAGGAGGAGAGGAGGAGGAGGAGGAGCTCGCCTGGCGCCACACACGCAGGTGATGCGGCAACACGCGCACGCGCAGGAGCTTGCGGATGCACCCCGCGAGCCGCCCACTCGGGCGAGCGGGGCCACAGGGCGCACGGTGGCGGGGCTCTCACAACGGGGGCGCATGGGGCTGGCACGAGCGCACCGGGCACGCGTCACGGGAGGCACGGACCAGGCCATGCACACGGGCACGAACAAACGTAGTCTCGAATGCTGCAAGGTGACCGCCTGGCGACTCGTCGCAGTCGCTCGGCCCTGCCCTACCCGCTGAGCGGGGCATCAGCGCAGAAGCCATTCGCTGGCACGCGCCCCTGACACTATCTGCCTCCTCCTCCTCCTCCTCCTCCTCCTCCTCCTCCTCCTCCTCCTCCTCCTCCTCCTCCCTCCTGCTCGAAACAAACAAATCTCCTGGTGGCCCCAAAAGCCGCCTTGGAAGCTTCACGGTTTTCGCTGCTCCGCCCCTCGTGCTGGCACTTGTCAAGGAGGTGACCCGCCTGACCTCTGTGACTGCTCCCCGTGGCGTCCGAGGGAAGGTCCACGCAGACCTGCTCCCGCGACAGGGCGCCCTTGCGACACGCCTTCGACCAACGAGCTTGGGAACAAGAGCGATTCCTGCCGGGCAGAGGGACAAATGATCTGCCTCACCACGCCTGCCGTCCCCAGGGGGGGGCCCTCGGGCCATGCGTCCGAGCTCCGGGGCCCGTGCGGGACGAGCCGGGCATCCCCGGGCACGATCCCGGACGAGGCGCAGCTGCTGGCACGCGTTCCGAGGCCGGAGCACCGCGGAGAGCTGGCGAGAAGGCCCGAAAGCCTGGGCCAAACGTTGCCGGTCAGCCCTGCGAGTGGACCTGTGGGCGGGTCGGGCAGGGGGCAGGGGAATCGACTGCCGAATCACAGCTTGCACTGCACTCGTCCAACAGCCCTCCCCGCTCCGCGATGAGCACCTGCAGGAAGATCGCCTTCGCCCCCCCCCCCCCCCCCCCCCCCCCCAACCTCTTCATCCATCCCCCATCATATCCCCCTCTTTACCCTTCATCCTCTTCGTCTCCCTCCGCCCCGCCTCCTCCTCCACCTCCTCCTCCTCCTCTTCCTCCTCCTCCTCCTACTACTACTTCTCCTCCCTCCTCCTCCTCCTCCTCCTCCTCCTCCCCCTCCTCCTCCTCCTCCTCCTCCTCCTCCTCTCCCTCCTCCTCCTCCTCCTCCTCCTCCTCCTCCTCCTACTTCTTCTCCCATGTCCCTCCTTCTCCCGCAGGAGAATGGGCCACTGCGCCCCGGAGACCCTATCCAATCTCATCCTCGCCATCCCTCTCCTCCTCCTCCCCGCCCTCCCCTCCCCGCACTGGGAGCAGGGGGGGGGCAGGATGACGGGGAGGAGGAGACGAAGGTGCCAGAGGGGGAGGAGGGGGAGGAGGAGGAGGAGGAGGAGGAGGAGGAGGAGGAGGAGGAGGAGGAGGAGGAGGAGGAGGAGGAGGAGATGGAGGAGGAGGAATACCCAGCTGGACTCAGCTGGTCAGACGGTGTGCGAGGCCCTACGGATTCGCGCCGGGCGGGCTTCCTCGCCGCACCCCAGGCCGTCCCCGAGCCAAGCCAGAAGACCAGTGCCCACTGAGGCCTCACGCATCGGGCCGTCGACGCGCCACCCGTAGCAGATGGGCAGATGGGCCCCACCCGACGACGTGTCCCAACTTCGCCCAGCGCTTCTCACACGAGGCCCTTCCACCGAGCTCCCTAGGACTCGCAGCCCTGCTTTGCACGGCTGCCTCCGAGCGATTCCGCGCGCGAGCTGATCCAAGCATGTACAGTGCGGGCACGGCCGCAAGAAACCCTCGCAAGAAACCCAACCCTGAACACCCGCGCGCGAAGAGCACCGGAGGGGAACCCTGGAGCACTCTGAACGCAGCAGCTCCTTCAACGGCCGCGGGAAGTCGCCGCGCCGCGCGCGGAGCTAAGAAACCCAGGATACCCAGAGAAAGCATATGGTGTCTTGATGCGCGCCCCCACTGTAGCTGGGGACGCTCGCTCCTGCACTTCCGCTTCTCGAGCGCCGCGGCCTGCCGCCGCGGCCTGCCACTCTCGCCGCAGCCGGCCCCTGCACCGTGGATGGTGCCCCGCTCCTGCGGTCGCCCTTCTCTCGCCGCGCCAGGCGTTGCCACCGCCCGCCGTCTCGCAGGTGCTGCTCTGCCGGCCTTGTGACTGATGGCCCCTTCCCTGCGCTCGCCTCCTCACAATGCCTTGTGGACAAGGCGGGGGAAGAGGAGGGAGGAGGCGGGGGGACGCGGGAGGATATTGGAGTAGCAAAAACGAGGCGGGGGAGGAGGTCGAGGAGGATGAGGAGACGACGATGACGACGACGGCGACGACAAGGAGGAATAGGAGGAGCAAGAGGGGGACGCCCGCCTTCTCACAATCTACCAGCCTGGAACACATCCCTATCCCTATGCTGGGCACCTCCTCCTCACGATGCCAATATTCGCGATTCCCTTCTCTTTTGAGGGCGAATCCCTAAGATTGTCATCGCCCTTTGGCGTGTCAATCTCAGGGATGGGGATGCGTTCGAGGCTGGTAAACAATGCCTGGTGCTGCCGCTGCGCACCGTCTCGCAGAAGCTGAGACCTGCATAGCAGCAGGTGGCCCGCTACCACGGCGGACCTTCTCCCAATGCCAAGTGCTGCCCCTGCGCGCTGCCGCGCACGAGCTGGCACCTGCACTGTAGCAAGTGGCCCATCCCTGCGACCGCCTTGTCACGGCGCTAGGTGCTGCCACCCCACGCCGTCTCGCAAAAGATTAGCCATGTATGATAGCTGGTGGCCCGCTCCCGTGCTCGCCTTGCGCGCAGTGCCAGATGATGCCACTGCGCGCCTTCTCGCAGGGGCTGGTGCCTGCATTGTAGCTGAGAGCCATCTCCTGCGCCCGCCGCTTTAGAGTGCCAGATGCTGCCTGCGCACCGTCTCGCCAGAGCGGATCCCTGCATTGTAGCTGGTGTGCCGCTCCCGCGCTCACCATTTTGACGGCGCCAGATGCGGCCACTGCTCATCTTCCCTCAAGAGCTGATACCAACATTGTAGCTCCTGATCCTCCCCTGCGTCAGCCTACTTGCGCCCACTGCGGCGCTGTAGCTGATGATATCGGAGTGCACCGATCCACTGCCCACGTTGCTGTCTGCACCGGATGGCGCCTGGGTGCGATGCCCACTGTACGCCAGCTTGACTGCCTGCCTGTGAGCTTGCGCCGATTCCAACGCTGCAGCTCGCAACTCCACTGCCTGTCTGCTCGCTTGCGCTGGCTCCAACACTGTACTCGCACTATCGCGCTGAACACAGAGCCCTCCGTCTCGCACTCGAGGGTCCCAGCTCTGTAGCTGATGATGCGTGGCCTGTGCTACGACGGCCGCTCGACTGATTTCCTGCACTCTTGCCGCGGCGCCGCATTGGCTGGCGCTACAGTTCACCGGGGGGTGGAGAAGGGGGAGGAGGGACCGCGAGAACGGAAGAAAACGATATTCCTGGTGGTTGCTCGCGCGCCCAGTCTCGGCACTGTAGCCGCTGACGGTGGGCTCCGCGCTTCTTCACGACGGGAGCCTGGTCCCAACATCGTAGCGGATGGCGTTGGGCTCCACATGGCTTCATGACGGAAGCCGGGTCTCAACGGTGAAGCTGATGCCGTTTGCCCCCGCGTTCCTGCATGGCTCGTGGGCGCATCGCCACTCCGAAGCTAGCGCTCCACAATGCCCGCGCGCGCCGCGTGCAGGGAGGGGCCGCTCGGGCGCGAAGCTGGATGAGAAGGAGGAGGAGGACCTGAGTCTGCCAGGGTGGTAAGAGAGGGTGATTTGTTGTTCGCGCACGTGTGTTGAAGTGAGGTATGTGGGTTCCTTCGTTTCACGTGATAGACGGTGCGGCTCCAATAGACACAATCAGCGCCGCACAACACAGAAGGAGGAAATGGAGCAACAACAGAGGTACCGATACCGCTACTCCACGGAGCTACGAGGGAGAGGCAACAACATCGGCAGATCTTCTTCCTTATGGGAGGGGAAGGAGGAGGAGGAGGAGGAGGAGGAGGAGGAGGAGGAGGAGGAGTAGGATGAGGATGAGGATGATAGAAAGGAGGCGGGGGAAGGAGAGGAAACAGATGGAGGGGGGAGGAGGAGAGCAGGAGGAGTGGGAGAGGAGGGGGAGTGGAGGAGGAAGGAGGAGAGAGGAGGTAGGAGGAGGGTGATGAGGATGAAGAGAAGAGGAGGAGAGGATGAGGATGAGGAGGAGGAGAGGAGGAGGAGGAGGAGGCCCTGCTGAGGGAGGGGTGCCTTCTGCACGCCGAGGTCGCGGCTGGCGCTGATGCGGTGGGCGAACGGACTGATGGACAAACCTCCGCGCCAGGCAGGGGGGCAGGGGGCGGCGCTGAGGGCGGGAGGAGGAGGAAGGAGGAGGAGGAGGAGGAGGAGCAGGAGGAGGAGGAGGAGGAGGAGGAGAAGAAGGAGGGGAGGAGGAGGAGGGAGGAGGGAGGAGGGAGAGGAGGAGGAGGAGGAGGAGGAGGAGGAGAAGGAGGAGGAGGAGGAGGAGAAGGAGAAGAAGGAGGAGGATGAGGAGAAGGAGGAGGAAGAAGAGGAATGCAGTGTAGTGGTAATGCCTTTGAGTGTAGGCATTGCCCTGTGAAGGTTCTCGTGAGGGTGGGGATGACAACCTTCTGGTCCCAGAGCCTGTGCAGAGACTGTTGCTGGTACCTGATGTTGGTGGATGGCAAGCGTGGTCAGCATACCCCGTGACCGCCACCTCTGTTCGACACATTCGGTTTGGCGGGGGGTGCTTCCCCTTTGCCTCTTATCGCCTCCGACCGTACAAGTGATACGGCATGAAGCGTGTCTCACCACTCGATCAGGGGGATGGGTAGGCATCCCCCAGAATAGCGTCAGACGCTGGGCTCCCTGAAGAGCGACGACCGTCGTTCGACCGCGGGTCAAAATACACATCGATCCAACTAGTTGCGCCCAAGCGCCTTGGCCCCCACAGCTCGCATACGAAAGCGCAGAGTGTTATCTGACTGTACCCTCTTCCAAATCATGCGCCCGCTGCAAAGCTGGCCTCATTTCATTGTTTCGGTTCTTCCGTATCGTGTTCCTGCTGCAGCGTTGGCTTCGGCTCCGCGCTTCCAGTCCTTCCCAATCATGCTCCCACTGCAACGCTGGTCTCATTTTCGCGGCTTCGGTTCTTCGAAATCGTGCTCCCGCTGCAACGCTGATCTCAATTTGCGCTTCCCGCCTTCCAAACCGTCCATTTGCATTCCCTGACCCTGTCTCGTGTCTGGTTTCCCCCCCTGACCCTGTTGTCGAAGTGAGTCGCGTTCTCGACGCAACGCCGTCGGCAGTGGCCGTGCGCCGTGCTATACCACGCATCGCGTGCTCTCTCGGACGCACTGCCCTGTCTGTCATCCGACTGTGCGAATCGAGAGGCGACCTACGCAATGGCACGGGATGGAAAGGGAGGTGCAGGACGTCAGCTATGACGACTGCGCACCTAGCTTGCCCCGAAATTCTCCTGTCGATAACGTCGGAAAGCCTTGAGAAACCTACATCCTCGACCCCCGCCTTGTCGGCGGGCAATGATCGGGGGGACTGGCATCGGATGCATCGACCTGGAATCGGCGACACTTTGCCGACTGACTGGCGATAGGCCCCCGAAAGCGAATCCGCACCCTCCCGTGGCTATAGGACTCCTTATCGGCGATCAATGGGCAAGTGGGGGGCGCTGCAGCCCCCCCCATCCCGCCCTATCTGTGCCCCTGCCTGTGAGGAGCCAGGATGCACGACACCATCGCACCAGCGCGAAGAGGAGTAGGAGAGGAGGAGAGGAGGAGATGGAGGAGGAGGAGGAGGAGGAGGAGGAGGAGGAGGAGGGAAAATCGGGAAGTACTGGAAATCCCCGAAGCCTTGGGAGTCCTGGAGCGTATCATCACCATGGCCTCTGGATCCTTCGATCGTCGCCCCCTCTCCGCTCGGAGGGCGTGGGTGCGGCGGCAAGAGGTGCGGGGAGGCGGGGAAGACCGCAGCCGAGCGACGCGGCGCCGCCGGCGGCCCCCAGGAAGCAGGACCTCGGGGCGCGGTCCGCCAGAGGCTCGTGCAGCACGGGGGAGGAGGGAGGGAGCAGAGGCCTCCTGGACGGGGTCCGACTGGATGGGGTCGGAGGAGCGCGCCGCATCGCCGATGCGTCGGCGAAAAGCACCGCCGATGCAGCGGCGATGCATCGACGACGTCGGCGATGCATCGGCGACGCCAGCGTGGAGAAAATCGGGCTCCACACCGAGCCGCATCGCCGATGCAATTGTCTGTCGTCCTGCGATGCGGCCTGGCGGACTCCTCCCGAGGCCCCGTGGTCTGGCTCCGACCCCTCCAGGTAGCTAGAGACCCTCCTTCATCTGCCTCCTCCCCTCCTCCTCCTCCCTTCTCGCTCCTCCTCCTTCTCCTCCTCCCCCACCCCTCCCCCATCTCCTACGAGGCCATACCGTGCTCACTCCTCCTCCTCCTCCTCCTCTCCTCCTCCTCCACCCCCCTCTCCCCCCCTCCTCCTCCTCCTCCTCACCTCCTCCTCCTCCTCCTCCTCCTCCTTCGCCTCCTCTCCTCCTCCTCCTCGTCCTACTCTCCTTCTCCTCCTCCTCCTCCTCATCCGCCTCCTCCTCCTCCTCACTCCCCTCCTCCTCCTCCTCCTCTCCTCCTCCGCTTCCCCGTCTTCTCCTCCTCCTCCTCTCCTCCTCCTCCCCTCCTCCTCCCCCGTCCTCCTCCTCCTCCTCCTCCTCCTCCTCCTCCTCCCCCGTCCTCCTCCTCCTCTTCCTCCTCCTCCTCCTCCTCCTTCTACTCCGAACCCCAGCCAGGAAACCTTGAGACCCGGACCACCCCCCACGGTGTGAGAGGACACGACCCGACCGGATGTGTCTGCGGCCGTGCTCGGCCCGGGGCCCCCGGGGCCGCCACAGAGCGACCCAGGCAGGCAGGCCTGGCCCACAGTCGGGCCGCTGAGAGAAGGAGCGCAACGTCTTGTTACGGAGCTCAGCGCCTCGACGGAGAACGTAGGTATGACGCGATACGCTCGCCAAAACCTGGGCCCATACAGTCGGGCCGCGGAAAGAAGGAGCGCTGAATGAGGAACGAAGCCCCTTCCTTGGCCCTGTAAGCGCCTCCGTGCCCCCAGGGAGGGCAGGAGAAGCAGCACCGGAGGAACCTGAGGACACCGAGCCCCTTCCGAGCCCCAAACTGTTCCTTAGTTCTGAAGGGCCCCTGGGACACACGCACACACACACACAAACAGAAATACACACAAGCGAAAGGGTTCCCCGTATTTTCCCATCTTTCGGAGGAAAGGCCAGTCCAGGGACCGGGTCGAGACCTCAGGGGGTTCTCGCAGGCTCGCGCGGAGAGAGGGAGGGAGGCAGGGCTGCAGTCGGGAGGCAGCTCGCGGGAGGCCTTCGCAGCGGCACGAGTGCAGAGCGGCACGAGGGCCGAGGTCAGCCCCAGGGCGAGGAGCGGGGCCCTTCTGTCTTCTTCGTGGCTGGGCCCTGCACGGTGCGGTGGAGTGCGCCGCTGCCTGGGGCACCTCCTGGGGGCTCAGGGTCTTCGGCCCAGGAGGCTCGCGCTCTCAGCCCACGCTTCTGTGGCCACGTCTCGACTGTCAGGGCGACGAAGCCCTGATCGAGGGGCCACTAGGCCAGGTTCGCTGCTGGCGGGCCCAGGTTGAGCCTGGACTCAGCGGGACTTGGCGGAACCAGGCAGGGATTCAGCGGCATTGCGCCGAATTCGGCCAGTCTTCGGCCACAGATCATGCTGGAGGAGGGAGGGCTGAGGCAGACGACAGCGGCTGGAGGCATCGGGCGCAGGGGCTCCAGGAGGACTGTCCGCGCATTGGGTCCAGCATGCCCTCTGGCCGCGCCAAACAAATGGGCGAGACATGGACGAAACGTTGGGCGGCTCGAAAATGCTTCTGACCTGCCCCTCCCCCCCCTCCCTCCCACCCTCCCTCTAAGATTTCTGTTGTTTCGCAATTCTATCCCTGGCAGCCCGCGCGCAAACGCGCCCTTCGCACCTCAAGAAAAGTTCAAAGAGATCACGAAGCCGATCCGCAACCCCAATCGAGATGGGTGAGGGCCGATGCTACACTACGCATCACCGTACCGCCCATACCGCCGGAACGACCCAAACGCACCGTCGCAGAACAGTACCGGCTGGGAAAGCAACGACTCCCTACGTCGAGTCATCGTCCGCCTTGCTCCCTTCCTTGGAGGGAGGGAGGTGCAGGTCAAACACTCACATTCGTGCGCCATCCGGTTAAGTTTCTTCCCGAACTGTTGCCCATATTTAGTGCATGCGTGGTGCCAAAACTACTGTACGCTCTTATTGCCACATGTCTGAACCTGGCCCAACGACGAGGGCTAAAAACCCGTGGTGTAAAGATGATTTCCTGAGCCCCTTCGGCATGCATCAGAAGATTGCCGAACGCCACTGCCCTTGGAATCGCAAAATAATCGACACCGAACGACTGCGCGCCGACCTGGATCAAGTGCGGAAATCGATATCCGAGCCAGGCACCCTGGATCTACGGAAGGTGGCCTGGGATCTACACCTAGGCTCCTCGTCCTCCCCCAGAAGACTCTCCTCCTCCTCCTCCTCCTCCTCCTTCCTCCTCAGCCTCCGCCTCCTCCTCCTCTCCCCGCCTTCTCCTCCTCTTCTCCTACTCCTCTCCTCCTCCTCCTCCTCCTCCTCCTCCTACTCCTTCGTCCTCCACCTCCTCCCTGCCCCTCCCCTCCCCCCTCCCCCTCCCCTCCCCCCATCCTCCTCCCACCTCCCCCTTCCCCTTCCCCTCCCCCCCCTCCCCGCCCTCCTCTTTCCTCCTCCTTCTCATCCTCTTTCCTCCTCCTCCTCCTCCTCCTCCTCCCTCTCCTTCCTCCCTCCTTCTCCTCCTCCTCCTCCTCCTCCTTCCTCCTCATAATCCTCCTCCTCCTCCCCCCCCCTTCCTCCTCCTCCTCTCCTCCTCCTCCTCCTCTCTTCCTTCTCCTCCTTCGCATCCTTCTCCTCCCATCCTTCCTCCACCTCCCTCTCCTCCTCCTCCTCCTCCTCCTTCCTCCTCTCCTCCTCCTCCTCCTCCTCCTCCTCCTCCTCCTCCTCCTCCCCCTCCTCCTCCACCTTCTGGCCGAAAAACTGGGGCACACCGAGGCAGACATGGGCCCACAGGGGTCCCAGGGCACGGCGAGGGCCCTGGATCGGCGGCGAGCAAGAGGGGGGAAGTGGCAGGGAGGGGAGAGGAGGGCAGGGGGGAGAGGAGGAGCGGGAGAGGGGGGGAGAGAAGGCAGGGAGAGGAGGAAGGGAGAGAAGGAGGGGAGAGAAGGAGGGAAGGAGGGGAGAGAGGGAGGGGAGAGGATGAGGGGAGAGAAGGAGGGGGGGAGAAGGAGGGGGGGGGGGAGACAAGGAGGGTCGGCGGCGAGCGAGGGGGGGAATAATGAGAAGGAGGAGGCCTTCTCAGGGGGCGGCGGGGCTTCGCAGACGCCCCCGCGCCTTCTGAGAGGACCCCCGTCTGCGGAGGAGGAGGAGGAGGAGGAGGAGGAGGAGATCGCTCGGCCTCCGAGGGCCGCCGGCGCCAACGACCAAGACCTGCTCGCGCCGCAGCAAAATCTCCTCGCCACGGAAGCTCCTTGGGCCTCTTTCGGCCCGCAGGGCCCCCACCGTGCCCCGGGACGACCCAAGTCTCGGCGGGGTGCCCCTCCTCCTCCTCCTCCTCCTCCTCCTCCTGCTCCTGCTCCTGCTCCTGCTCCTGCTCCTGCTCCTGCTCCTCCTCCTCCTCCTCCTCCTCCTCCTCCTCCTCCTCCTCCTCCTCTTCCTTCTCCTCCTTCTCCTCTTCCTCCTCCTCCATATACAACCGTGTCTTGTGCACAGCATGGCTCGACCCAAGTCGTGCTCTTCGTGCTCGGCCCGTGCTGTGCTCCCGCCGTTTCGGCCTCCGCCCGCCTCTGCTGCACGACGAGCTCGAGGCGAAGGTGGCCCACGAGATCGCCAGACAAGACCGCTCAGGTCCACCCGTGGTGCACGTTGAGGCGTGGACGCATGCCAAGGGCTGGCCAGCAGAGCTTCTGTGTTCTCCAGGAAGGGGGAGAGGAGGAAGGGGGGGAGAAGGAGGGGGGGGGGGACAAGGAGGGTCGGCGGCGAGCGAGGGGGGGAGGAGTGGGAAGGAGGAGGCCTTCTCAGAGGGCGGTAGAGCTTCTGTGTCCTCTGAGAAGGGGCCCCGCCCCCCTGGTGCTGCCCGCCTCCTCGCGTGCACCGCCCTCCGTCCCGAGGACACGATCCCTCCAACGATAAAGAACGCTGGGACCGGGGCCCCGAGGCCACGATCCCTCGTTAAACAAAAACTGATACTCTTGGCTTCTTAATCCGCTCGGGGGGGGGACCCCCCCCCCCCCCGACGGGGGTCAGCCTCGCCTCGTCGTCGCGCCGCGACGGGGGTCGGAGCGCCTTCGGCGCGCGGTGGCTGCCCGCGACGGGGGTCGATGCGGGGCTGTCGGCGGAGGTGACGCCCCCCCGACGCTCATCAAGAAACTCAGAGTAGGCGCGCCGAGCTCCCAAGACGGCCCATCCAGGCAACCAGGGACACGAAGATGCCCCAAGATGCCTCCATGGCTCAAGGCGGCTGGATATGGCTTCCAGGTGGCCCAAGACGCCTCCGAGAGGGTCCAGAAGGGCCACAAGAGGACCTCCAACAGGGCCCGAAGAGGCCAAAATCATGGATCCCCTCTGGGTTCTGAATAGGTTTTCGCCTGATCGCATGCTCGGGCGTCCGTCAGCTCAAGACGGCCCAAGCAGCCTCCACGATGGCCCCAGCACGGACAAAGATGCCCCCCAAGATGTAAAACAGGGCTAGGATCGGGATAAATCGATCCAGAGCGTTCCTGAGCGCTCTCAGAGCGTTCCGGAACGCTCTGGAGCGGCCGCGGCGCCCAATACATCCTCCAAACCCGCCGATTCTCAGAGATTTCGAGTTATCCCGATCCGATTTTGTCCCGATCTTCGCGTCGTTGTAAGATGGCCCCAGAGGGCCCCAACATGGCCCAAGGAGGCATCCAAGACGGCCCCGGCAGACCTCCCCTGGGACCCAAGATGGCCTCAGACGGCCCCACGACAGCCCAACACGGCGCCAAAGCGACCCAACGACGGCACACACAGGCACCCGCCACACGGCCAGGAGGGCCCCAAAACAGAGACCCACGGTGTCACATTCGACGGCCTTCCTATTCCACTTCCCGCTCCTCCTCCTGCTAGTCCTCCTCCTCCTCCTCCTCCTCCTCGACCTCCTGCTCCTCCTCCTCCGCCTCCTCCTCTTCCTCCTCCTCCTCTTCCTTCTCCTCCTCCCCCTCTTCATCATCATCAGCCTCATCATGAAACTCATCATCATCACCATCATCATCAACAGCAGCATCAACATCAGCATCGTCATCATCATCACAACCACCATACTCATATGGAAACTCATAATCATAATATGAATCATCATCATCGCCATCACCATAATCCTCAGCATCGTAATCATTATCATCACATGATAATCGGCCCCATCCCAATCATCCTCAGCATCTCCATCATGGCTCTCCCGAGCATGGAGACACGAAATGACAGAAACGACGGCCTCCAATGCCCCCTCCAACAGTCGCCGGCGGGACTTGTCGCAAGCAATTGGGTGATGACATAAGCATCAAGTGTTGGAGATCCGCGCGGATTTCTCGGGCCGTTCTCCCTGGCGAGCGGAGCGCGCCAGGGGCGGCGCCAGAGGCCTCGTCACGGGGTCCAACGCCTATCCGAGAAACCCGCGCGGACCTCTGAAAGGTGACGCTCATTTCCGCACCCGTGCGATGTCTTGATGTTCTGCCATGCGGGGTCCCCAGACGTCCCGACCCTTTCCCCAAGATCGGGAGCGGCCAAGAGGGGGGTGTCCAAGAGGGGGGGGTGCAAATCATGACCGTCGGCATGTGCGCCGCCCAGCGGGGGGGTCATGGACGTAATGAAATAAGAAGGGGCGCCATGAAATCTGGGGGAATATATCCATAAAACAGGCTTGGATCGGGATAAATCGCTCCAGAGCGTTCCGGAGCGCTCTCAGAGCGTTCCGGAACGCTCTGGAGCAGCCGCGGCGCCCAATACATCCTCCAAACCCGCCGATTCTCAGAGATTTCGAGTTATCCCGATCCGATTTTGTCCCGATCTTCGCGTCGTTTTAATCCACCCCCCCCTAGTCATCACCTCTCTCTTTTCCGCTCCCGACAAGACCGGCTTGTCATCCTGAGGCGTTCTTCCTCGCAGCCCAGGGGCCCGGTGAGGGCCCCCCTTATAGGGCACGAACACTGAAAACCAGACACTTCCCCTGTCGTGCTTTCGCCACGCCGCGAACACCCCACTGTTCCGGGTCACAAATAAAAATATTCCCCATATTTTGTCATATTTTCTGGGTTTCCGTCTTCCCCCCCAACTGCCCATATTTTCCCATATTTTCTGGGGAATCGACGATTAGTTGTGTCTGTGTGTTTTTTCCCTCCTGATATTCCACGGACGAAGAACGGCATTCAATGCACTTTTTCGCCGTCGGGGCCGCCTGTCCCACGGCGGCTGGGAAGTTTCTGCCCCTGCGGTGGCGCGTCAGTAACCAGCCTCGAACGTATCCCTATCCCTGAGATGGGCGAGCAAAACGCGAGGACAATCTTAGGGATGTGCCCTCAGGAACTGAGGGAATCCTTAGGATCGGCATCGAGGTGAGGTGATGTCAAACATAGGGATAGGGATATGTTTCAAACTGGTAAAATATTTCCTGGACGAAGAGCGGCATTTAATACACTTTTTCGCCGTCGGGGCCGCCTGTCCCAGGGCGGCTGGAAAGGTTCTGCCCCTGCGGTGGCGCGTCAGGGCATCAACTTTCCAGGCGCCCTTCGGGAGCGGCCAAGAGGGGGGCGTCCAAGAGGGGGGGGTGCAAATCATGACCGTCGGCATGTGCGCCGCCCAGCGGGGGGGCCGGGGACGTAACGAAATAAGAGGAGGCGCCATGAAATCTGGGGAAATATCATGGCCCCCGCCATGATATCCCCCCCCCCCTAGTCATGCCCCCCCTCTTTTCCGCCCCCGGGCCCTGGGACAGGCGCCTCCGGTGCGGGGAATGTCTACATCTCTGACACAGCTGGGCTCTCTGGCGCCCGTTCTCGGGAGGATCTCGCAGACCTCGGAGAATGTTTACGTCCTGCTGTGTTCCTGGAAGATCGACACTCCGCCGTGGCCTCCTTTCGTGGCGCGTGCGAGGGGATAGGGGGAGAGGGGAAGGCTTCTTAGACGCAGGCTGGTTCTTAGAAGGCGCGGGCCTTACATCTACAGACAAGGCCCGCACCTTCTAAGAATAGGGAGCCCACCAAGGACGTACGTGCCCAACTGTGTACATGAACGCAGCCCCTCGATCCGCGAGACTGGCGGCGTGATACGAACATTCGGGCGATGCGTACTCTCGAAACCAGCGTGGACTCCTGTGCGTGCACGTGCTTTTCTCGCTCCTGAAAGGAGCAGGGAGCAGGGGTGCCTCTAAGAAGCCTTCCCCCTCCTCGAAGCCCGATTTCCTCCTCCTCGAAGAGAGCCATCCCTCCTCGAAGCCCGATTTCCTCCTCGAAGAAAGCCATCCCTCCTCGAAGAGAGCCATCCCTCCTCGAAGTCCTGTGCGAAGCCCGATTTCCTCCTCGAAGAGAGCCCTCCCGCCGTGGCCCCCCGCTTGAGCAGGGCCCGACCGTCCCGGCATTCATGTAGTCATACCACGAGATGCTCTTAGAACCCGAAAATGTTCTAACAAAATATTGCCCTGGACAAGCCAAGATGGGATCCCGCTGGCAACAAAATCCTCTGCAGAAAGGTGAGAGGAGAACAGACAGCTGGGCAGGGCGGTCTTGCAACTTGTTCCCCAGGGATAGCCAGGCATACCTATAGAACCCGAAAATGTTCGAACAAAAACAGTGTTCTTAGAACATAAACCCGCTGCGATAAAACAGGACAGACTCCGCCAGAAATGTTCTGAGAACATTTCGCGGAAACCACAGCAGGTTCTTAGAACATTGTTTGGTGGGGCCAAAGGCGAGCCAGGACGCTTCGCCGCTGCTTGACCTGCTACGCAAGGGAAGCGAGGAGCACAGCGGGGGGAGGACCCGCCGTCGGGCGCTCCCTCCGCGGGGGGCTCCTCGGCCAGACCTATGCCGGCCGTCTCCTCGCGCCGCCGGCCGCCCGGTGCTCTCTCCCCGCCGCTTCGCCCTCCATCCTGGACACGATCGCGTCCCCCCCCCCAAAAAAAAACAGGACGGCGTCGGTGAGCCCTCGCCGGGACTCGGGGCCGTCGAAAAACGACGCAGGATGGAAAGCGGGTCCCAGGGAAAGGGTCGGGACTTCCATTGGGAAACAAAGAGTCACATAAACAGAAAAACTCGGAGGTCTGCGCGGATTTCTCGCATCGGCGCTGGACCCCCCTCCCTGGCGCGCGGAGCGCGCCAGGGGCGGCGCCAGAGGCGCCGCCGGGGGACCCCAGCGCCGATCCGAGATATCCGCGCGGACCTCCGAGATTTTATGTTTATGTCATTTTTTGTTCCCCTAGTAGTGAAAAGTCAGGACGTTGCATGTCTGGGAGATGTCCTCATTGGAGGCGTGAGTCCGACCCGAACATCTCGTACAGCAATCCTGGAATATATCGTTTCTTGGGCGGCACGGCCGGCCACGACGCAGATATGGTATTGATTTCTCGGTGCGCGCGTCGCCCCTGGGGAGGGCGACGCATACATGGCATTACAGGGCAATGTTTCATACATAGGATTTCTGAACATGTAGGATTTTGAATACATGATTAATGTATGAATAAATTTATGCATGAACTCATCGTTGTTTGTGATATTAAATCCCTGCATGTTTAATACATGATCCGCACGCGGAGCATGTATTACAAACGGCACTGTATTATTATTTTGGGGTGACGCCGATGTTTCGGGCGCTGCTAGAAGTGCCCCTGGCCCAAGGTGCCTCCCAAGATTTCCCAGGAGGCCCCTACGGCCTCCGGAGAACCCCTCACGAGGCCCAGAGGGCTCCAGGTGCTCGAACATGTTGCGAGAAGCTGGCGGTATCTTGGGCCAGGGGCACCTTTAGCGACCCCCGACCGTTGAGCAAGGACTGGCAACCCTAGCACACCCCTATACGGTCGAAAACTTCTGTCGAGCGGGGCGACACGCCATCCCATTGCTCCCGACCGGAGTCTACCACGGAGAGCTCCTACAACTAAACATGCTCTACGGACCAGCACCCAAGCCTCCGCCAGACGTGTGGTCTCAACCAGACATGTTGTAAGTTCGCGCCAGAAAGGAAGGGCTCTCAGAACATTATCTGGACACTCCGTGCTGGGCCGATCGTCGAGCCGCGTCGCTTCGCCAGTGCCGGACTCCACACCGCCGCCCCGTCCTCGCCGTCGCCCGCTCCTCTTCCTGCAAGGGGGGCGGCAGGGGGAGGAGGCTGGCTAGTGAGGCTCGGCCGCACGCGAGAGCGAGACAGTGAAACACCGACGCCAACGCAACCAGTGAAAATGTCCTGGGCGATCCAAGATCGAAGAGTGGCAAAGACGCACAATCCCGAAGGCGGCGGAGCCAGAAGGCATAGGCAGAAGACGGATCGGGGGGTGGGAGGCGACGCAACCAAGGCGGTTGCTCACAGAACGGAGCGGGCGGCATGCGGGACAAAGACAAGCCGCACAGCTGCCCCAAATCCTCGGGACTACGGAACCCCCCACCCCTCGGGATCTCATCGGCGACTCCCCTGCCCTATCATCGCTGGGCCCGAGCCCGATTGCGAGGATGTCCCGACGGACTGGGGGGACCAACACCAACAGGGACCCTCCCGACGGGCAGGCCGATTGGGTCCCCAGGACCCTTTGGGCGGTCCACCACGCGCCGCCGGTGGGCGCTACGAAGGGCCCAGCCAGCAGCGACAGGCCTCCCCACGTACGACTTGTCAAACGCCAGGCTGAGGTCCCGCTGCCCGTCGGAAACAGGCACTCCGCAACGCTGCCACGATCCTCCCGATGCGTACGCGGGCAAATTGGGCGCGCGGTTCCGTGGTCGTTTATATTTTCTGGTTCATTTCCCTGGTGGTGTTGGTTCCTTGGTGGTGTTGGTGTCGCTATTCCTTCTTCCGACCTTTGGTGCGCGGCTGAACGGGGGACGTCGGTTGGTCAAACCCAGGCGCGCAAGCCGCTGCTACCGCTTCGCGTTCAGCGATCGGGGGGGCCCTTTTGGGCACGCGCCAAAGGTCACTCCGGCGAAGGGTTACTTTTACGTCTAGTTCTAGGTCGGGCGTGTCCTCCTACAGGCGGCTTGTGGACGATAAAAAAGAGATAGTAAAAACATAATCAAATAGAGCCAAAAGAGCATGAGAAATCGTCACCACACTATGTTGACCATTCTCGAATTTTCCTCCTGTAGAAGGACATGCCCGACGTGAGTCTAGTTGAGGGGGAGGGGGGGGGAGCCCAGGCAGAGAGTCGCGACGGCTGGTCTTTCTGCTTGCGCGGCATCCGCCGCCTGGACAAGGGGCACCGCCTGAGCATCTCCGAGGGACAAGAATTGGATCCCCCTGGCCCAACACTGCCCTTTGCTCCCTGCGTTTCGCCCACCCAGTACAGCGTTTCGTGGCCTCATAGGGAGCTCCACCGAAGGCTCCAGTGCCGCCGCCCGCATGCGTCCCCCACCACCCAACACGATTGCTGTATTCACAACTGCATATGGTTGAGTCCTTCGCGAGGTAATTTTGAATACTCCTCCTATACAGGGACAGGCCCGACTGAAGTCTAGACGTTGTGGCGCTGGCCTCCCCGAGAGCAGGCACGCGCCCGAGCGATGCCGAGGGCCAGGATACAGCGAAGGCTGCAGCCGTGGTGCCCCGGGAGATGCAGCGGCATCGGCATCACTCCTCCTCTGACTGTAGTTAGGTCGGGCATGTCCCCCTGCACGGGGATTTTGGGCGAAAAATTACAAATAGTCAAAACAGACTCACCAAATGGCCAAAAATAATGATAAAATCGTCCCCGCACAATTTTTGTAGGGGGACCCGCCCGACTTAAGACTATAGACGAGGAGGGATCAACATTGACAGAACCTTCCGAAGGTCCGCGCGGACTTCTTCGCTCGCGCCAGACCCGCCCTCATCGCCAGGCGCGGCGCCGGAGACCGCCGCCTGGGGGGGTCCGGCACCGATCCAACATCCATGCAGAACTTCTTTTCGGAATCCTCAAACGCATTGTAAAGCGAAAACTCGTGTGGCGAAGCGGCACAGCAAGGTAAATCTTGTTCGATTCGCCAGAAGCACGTGACGATTTCTGTGTTGGCACGGATATCTTGTTCCTCTTTAGGTCCGCGGGAGGTCCGCGCGGACCTCTGGAAGGTTGTGCTCCTTGCTTAAGCCATGCGATGTTTTGATGTTTTGAACTGCGGGGTCCTGGGACGCCCCGACCCTTTCCCCAGGCTCGGCGCTCATCGGGAGCCGTTGGTTGACGGCCTCAGAGCCTGGGGGCCGAGAACTGTCAAAAACCTATTGTCGTGCTTTTGCCATGACGCGGGCACGTCGTAGTTTTCAGGCCATGACTCGGCTCTCCGGCGGCCGTTCGGGAGGACCTGGGCCCCCCCGGGACGCCCTCGGCGAGGCGTAGCTCCTGGAAGGCACTCCGAGGCTGGACGCCCGGAGAGAGACGCAACGAAAACGTCCGACCCCCCCCCCGAAAACCGCCAGCACATGCCTGGGTCGATTTGTTCGCCTTGCGGGGAGGAGGAGGAGGAGGAGAAGGAGGAGGAGGAGGAGAAGGAGGAGGAGGAGGAGAAGGAGGAGGAGGAGGAGAAGGAGGAGGAGGAGGAGAAGGAGGAGGGGAGGAGGAGGGAGGAGGAGGGGAGGAGGAGGGGAGGAAGGAGGAGGGAGGAGGAGGAGGAGGAGGGAGGGAGTAAAAGGAGGAGGAGGAGGAGGAAGAGGAGGAGGAGGAGGAGGAGGGAGGAGGAGGGAGGAGGGAGGAGGAGGAGGAGGAGGAGGAGGAGGAGAGGAGGAGAGGAGGAGGAGAGAGGAGGAGGAGGAGGGAGGAGGAGGGGCGGAGGAGGGCGGAGTAGGCGCTCCAGCAGGAAGTGGGCCCGCCGCTGCCACAGCTCCCGGCCTCAGCGGGTCTCTCGCGCGGCCCATGTGGGGACACCGCGCTGGCGGCTGCCGGGGCGGAGGGGCCGCGCCCGCGCCTCCTCCTCCTCCTCCTGCTCCTCCTCCCCTGCTCCTGCTCCTCCTCCTCCTCCCTCCTTCCCCTCCTTCCTCCTCCCCTCTCCTCCTCCTCCTCCTCCCTCCTCCTCTTCCTCCTTTCCTCCTCCTCCTCCTCCTCCTCCTCCTCCTCCTCCTCCTCCTCTTTCTCCTCGCATCGCCGAGGGCGTTTTGGGGGCTCCTCCTCCTCCCGCGCCCGCTCCCTCGCGTACCTCCCACACTGCGGGCGCCCCTGTCACGAGTGGTGAACACATCCGCTTGCCATAGCTCGGACGACCATTCCCCGTGCTCGATCGCGCTCTGCTTCCCAAGATGGTGCAGAACGCTCCAAGATGTTCCAGACTTTCTGGCGCTACCCTCGCCGAAAAAGTCCCGAGCGATGCCAAGTCCGTAACCGCGTCCTCGCGGTTAGGATTCCGGGGCGTGGTCTCGCGGATACGCGGTCGCACGGCTACGCTCCGCGCGGGGCATCCGCGAAACAACGCCCCAAGTATGTCCGCGGGGTCGCGCGGCCCAAGGGCCCAGACCGCAGGGCCACGGATACGGACAGGTCTCTCCCCCACGACTCTCCCCAGGCCCCCTCGCGCCAAAGCAGAGCACGACGCAGCGTTTTTCCCTGCCTTCGGCCTCTGGGGGGGGGCCTTGCCCGGCTTCGGGGCCGTCGAACACTGCCTGGGATGAGAGACGGGCCCGTGAGAAGGGGCCCTGACCTCCCGGGGCCCACGGGCGGCTCTCTCCGAACCCGGCCCCGCGGAGGCGCGCGGGCGCCGCGCACCCTCCTCCGCGGCTCCCGGAAGCGGACCTGCGCAGCCGAGCGCGCGCGCCACGTTCGGGACGGGTCGGGCTGGGCCGGCGTGCCGGGCGGTCGGCTGCTCCCGCACGAAGCCTCGGGCGAGCCCCTCAAAACGCAGAGCAGCCACCTTGCAACGTCACGGCCACGACACCTTTTGGTCGGCGGGTCGGGAGCGGGCCCCTTCTGGTTGAGTGCTGGGCGGGGCGCGCGAAGCACTCATTGGGGAGACAGGGCGCGGGCGGGCATCACGACCACGACACGCCACGGCGTCGTATAGAAGAGCTTCCTGGACGGCCCCCTCGCATGGCTCAATCGAGACTCTTCGGAGACCCGAGCAGGACCACCCGGCATGCACTGCGCTGCTGCGCCCGTGCCGAGCCGCGGACTGCCGTCGGTCGTCATCGGCCTCCTCATCGACCTTCTCAACTTCCGCATCTTCCTAGCACCTTTTCCGCACCCGCCTCCTCCCGTCGTCATTCGTGATCTCCTCCACCTGTGCCTCCATGTGCTACCCCTCCCTCTGATGTTCCTGCTTCACTCTCCTATCTCTTCATTCACCCTCTTCCTCCGGGCGCTCGTGAACATTAAGTCGGGCCTGTCGTCCTACAGGAGGATTCGAGACGACAACTTAACAATACCCTAGAACTGCCCCCAAATGGTCGAAACATGCTCAAGACCTCTTCCCCTGATTATGGTTTAAAAACTACGTTTGAGTCTTCCTCCTGCAGAGGGACAGGCCCGACTTGACGTTAACAGCGGGCAACCATCGGGGGGGGGGGGGAACCGCCAGGACCGCCAGGACCGCGGTGGCTCGAGGGGTCGCTCGGGGCCCCTCGAGGGTCTGGCTCCCGCAAGCAGGCACCTCCTTCTGTGCGTTGTCCCCTGCCAGGGCACTCCATGTTCAGAGGGAGGTCTTGTTCGGTCGGGCGTGTCCCCCTGCAGGCGGGATCTTGGACGAACAATGAGAAAATGCTCAGACAAATGTTTGACTCGCGGGTCGAGAGCGCACCTCTGCCGGTCGAAGCTAGAGCGGGCCGCGCGAGGCTTGGATTCAAGGAAGAGGGGGGGCGGAGAGCGGCCTCACGGCAAGGCCAGGAGGAGGCAACGCCTCGGAGAAAAAAATATGCTCAAACAAGTGCCCTAACAAATTCCCAAATGGTACAAACAAGTCGTCCCAAGACTATGTTTGGACCATTCTCGAATAGTCCTCCTGTAGAGGGGCACGCCCCCCTCGACCCGAACCCAGACATTCGCTGTTCAGAGAGAGGTACTGTTCTTCTTTTCTTTCGACGGGGCGCCCCAGAGGTCCCGACACACTCCCCGGGTGCAGCGTCTCGCCCCGAGGCCCTCTTTGATGCTCCCGGGGCCCAGTAAACGACTACCTGCCAGACCACCCCAACCCAACCCGAAGACCCGAATTGGACCTGAATTTCGGGTTGGGGGGGGTACGGGTTCCATGTGTTTTTAAAATGTAACATTTTAAAAACACATGGAACATTTCATGTCGGGGAACATTTCAAATGTTCCCCGACCCCCCCCCGCACTGGAAATGGAGGGCAACTTGACGCCTTCGGGTTGGGTTGGGGTGGTTGGGTGGGTGGTGCATCTAAGTGCGCCCCAGAGGGCGGAATCGAGGAAAACCACCCGGATTAAAACAACGGATCGCCGGAGGACCAGGAAGGCTGCTGCCCCGACGCCGCGCGCCCCAGCCTCACGGCACCGCGCGGTCCTTGCTGCCCGAAGCGCGCCCGCGAGGCGAGGGCCGCGGGCGGCGGAAGCCCGCGCGAGGCCTCGAGCGACACGCCGTGGCTCTCCAAGGGGCGAGCCCTCAGTGGGCCTTGAAAACGACAGGGCCGTTTGTTTAACCGGTTCCGTTTTGCCGTTTTTGTTGCCGGTCCCGACGCAATGTTTTACCAATTCCGTCGCCGTTTTTTGACCGGTTCCGGCCTCAGTTCCGATCCTGGAGCTGTTTTTTTTTGCCGTTTCCGATCCCAGCGCCCCAAGGGGGCTCGCCGCGAGCCCCCTTGGGGCGCTGGACGCCAGAGGGCGTGGGTGCGGAAAGAAGATGGGCACGATGCCCAGCAGCACAGGAGGCTCGAAACCGACAGCGGCAGCTGCCAGGCAGGCGGACTTCTGTCTTGAGCAGGGACCGACCGTCCTGGCGTTACTATAGGCCTACCACAAAATGTTCTTAGCACCCCAAAAAGTTCCAAAAACAAGACCAATGTGCTTAGAACAAAAGCCCGAGGTGTTAAAACAAGACAGTCCGAGCCAGAAATGTTCTAAGAACATTCCGCGGAAACCACAAAATGTTCTTAAGACATTGTTTGGTAGGCCTATAGGCGAGCCAGGACGCTTCGCCACTGCTTGACTGCCTCACATGGACAACGTCCGCAGCGACGCCAGCAGCGAACCCTGTTAAAAGTGTGTGTGTGTGCCTGTTCTTGTCCATGCTTTGCGTACCCATATCGATCGTACCGAGAGGAGGCTCTGCCAACACTCCATCAGACGAGGGCCAGAAGACGGGAGCCTGGTCCTGCAGTGGCTCCCCGGCGGATCAGGGCGGAGCCTTCGCGCTGCCAGAGGGCGGCGAGGGGCATTCAACGGCGAGGGCGCCCATCGCCGTCTCACGCCCACCCTCGCCCTGACCCACCACAGCCCCCACCCCTCGAAGCGCAAATTGTGGGATGTCCTCATGCGAAAGAATCAGAAGCATCACGCAAGAGAGAAACGCTATTGAGCCAGATCTGCCCAGCTTAGCCCAAGATGACGCTGGATAAAACAGAACAGGGCGGGAGAAAACCAGATTTGACGAGATCATGCCAAACGCGCGGATCTCCGAGAACATCTGCTCATGCAAGCAATGATGCTTCGATTGCCGTCGTCGTCCTCCTTCTCCTCCCCCTCCTGAATCCATCGCCCCCGCTTTGGTGTTGAGGCCACCTGGACTACTCGGGGGCCTGTCGAGGCCAGCTGGGAGTGCCCGGGGGGGCCGTGGAGACCAGCGGAGACTGCCTGATGGCGGCTGCCTGTGCACAACCTGACGCGTCACCATCCCGGGGAAGCTTAAAGAGGCACGGACACTGCTGCTCCCCAGACCTCTCCCGGGGTGCGTTCTCATCCGGACCTCGAGGCGAATCCAGCGGTGGCAACGAGGGCCTCCGAGGAGGCCCCAAAAGGGGGAACACGGGCGAAGGGTAGAGGCCTGGCCCGCCTCTTACTCCTCCGACATCCCCCCCCGAGCTGCAGGCCCCCGCGCTGGGCCCACGGCACTGCACGAACTTGCGGCAGCGCATGAGGGCCAGTCCCGCGAGCAGGTCGGCCTCGGAGGCCTCGGCCTGGTGGGCCGCTCCACCTCCGGGCCCGCCGGGAGCAGCACAGGAACCGTTTCCCCCAGCTGAGAACAGCGACCAATGCTTCGGTGGCAACTCATGGGGACCTCCCCTCTCCTCTTGTCGGCATTCGCGAATCGACACTCGTCGACGCCACATCGACGCTAGTCGACGCTACATCGACGCTAATCGACGCTAGCCGACGCCAAGTCGGCGCTGTCTCATCGACTCCCAGAAAAGCTAAACCACGCTGGTCGACGCTGAAGACGGAATCAAGGGGGTATACCGGGCTCCCATGACCTGCTACCGAACACTGCGCTGATCATGGGAATTGCACGCTTCCCCGCTTACAGTCATCGGCCTGACCTAAGGAACGATACATAAGGAACGAAGCCCCTGCTTTCCAAGGAACAAAAACATAAGGAACGATAACTAATACAAAACACGCATAAGGAAGGATACGTAACGCATGCAAGCCGTAAGGAACGACCGAGCCCCTTCTGAAAAGTAAGTGTTCCTTACTCACGCCACTCACTGTAGGGACAGGGGGGCCCCGCCGTGCTGAGCATCAGCCGCGAAGGAGCAGGAAAAGGAAGCAGGGGAGCCGAGGAGGGAGAGCGGGCAGCGCGGTCGCCAAGAAACGGCTGTCCCGCGAGAGCCGGCTGCATACAGTCGGGGCGTTGACCTAAGGAACCCAAAATAAGGAACGAGGCCCCTATTCTCCAGAAGTTCAACTTCGCTTTCGTATCGAAAACCTAAGGAAAACCTGAGGCAAGCTGCGAAACACATAAGGAACGCGGAGCCCCTCCCCAACGAAAAGCGTTCCTTCTTCAGGGCCCCGACTGTAAAGCTCTGGCCCACGCTGGAAACAGGAATGACTGGGAAGAGCCCAGCGCCGAACCACAAACAACAAGAGGAGTGCAGACCTGGAACCCGTCCGACTCGCCGAACATCGCGACGGGAAGCTGTTGGCCGGTTTCGGCCTCCAGAGCCTACACTAGGCCTCGGGACCGTCAACGAAAGGATCCTGGCGACGGACCCGACCATATGCAATGGTGTGTACCGCAAGGCGGGCGGGACGAAGGAGGGGGACCTCCTGTTGGGGCCCCGAGACGTGTGAGGGTATGCCAACATGGGCGGGAGGGCAAATATGGACACCGCCGCCAAGGCCTTCGATGGAGCTCCCTAGGGGCAGACCGCGAAGCGCTGTACTGCGCCGCGCGGACGCATGTGATCACAACCGCTGGGGCCATCGTTGGGGCTCCCTATGGGGCCACGAAGCGCTGTGATGGGTGGTGGTGACGCATGTGATCCCAGCAACTGGGGCCTTCGGTGGGGTGCCCTATGGGACCACGAACGCTGTACCGGGTGGCGCGGACGCATGTAGTCACAGGCATTGAGGCCTTCGGTGGAGCGGGGCCACGGACTCTGTATTGGGTGGCGCGGACGCATGTGATCACAGCCACTGGGGCCGACGAGGGGTCTCCCTATGGGGCCACGAAGCGATGTAGTGGGTTGCGCGGAAGCATGAAATCACAAGCGCTGGGGCCTTCGGTGGAGCTCTCTATCGGACCACGAAGCGCTGAAAATTGGTGGCGCTGACGCATGTGATCACAGCCACGGGTGCCTTCGGTGGGGCTCCCTACGGGGCTACGGAAAGGTGCAATGGGCGGCGCGGACGCATATGATCCCAGCCACTGGGGCCTTCGGTGGTGCTCCATATGGGTCCACGGGACGGTTTATTGGGAGGCGCGGGCGCATGTGATCCCAGCCAGTAAGGCCGCCGGTGTAGCTCCTTATGGGGCCACGAATCCCTGCATTGGGAGGCGCGGGCGCATGTAATCCCAGCCGTTGAGGCCGTCGGTGTAGGTCCCTATAGGGCCACGAAGCGCTGTACTGAGTGGCGCGGACGCATGTGATCACAGCCACTGGGGCCTTCGGTGGAGCTCCATATCGGGCCACGAAACGCTGTACTGTGTGCGCGGAGCAAAAGCAAGAGTGGGAGGAGGAGGAGGGGGAGGAGAAGGAGGAGAGGGAGGAACGCGGGGCGCTGTCTCTTCAAAACGAGGACCCAACACTACAGCATGGTTTGGCAAAACTTAGGATGAAGAACCAGTCCTGGAGGAAGGGTCGAGACGTCGGGGGGTCACGTCATGGAGAAATCATGACGTCGGGGGCTTGGGGACGAGGCTCGGAAGAGGATACTTTCGGATGGTGATAACCTGGGCATATCGGAGACCTGGAGGTTCTGGAGGGAGTACTGGGCGCCGCGGCCTTCTCAGACCAAGATCTGGAGCGCTCTGAAAGCGTTCGGGCACCCTTTGGAACGATTATGATTCCTGTCCCAGCCCAGCTCGGGAAATTGACTGCGTATGCACGCGCGCGCGCAGCGCTCGGACCTGTCTCTGGGCGGGCAGACGTGCGCGGTCTTGAGGGGGAACCATCGGATGGTGCCCGGCTCAGGGCCCCTTCGTGCTGACGAGCTCCACGGCAGAGCCTAACGGCCGTAAGCTCCGAAGGAGCACCGAAGGGGACAACCTAGGGAAGCACCCGGCCCCTCCCGACCTCAAACCGGCCCTTCTTTCAGCGAGTTGACTGTGCGTCAGCGGGGACAGACATAGAAGCCAAAAGGCCGCCCGGCGCGCAGGCCCAAGCATCCCGTGGACAAGAGCGCACCAGAGATGGCCTCGGGGATCTGGCACGCACGGCCGCATGCACCAGCACGCATCCACTGGCCCGTCGCTTCGGCGAGGCGCACCTGCGTAGAAACGACGCAGATAGTACCCAGTCGGAGCGACAGACGGGCAGCCCAAGTGACCCCGAGCCTGTGCTCCAGGCGTCTCTCATCCCAGCGCCCGCGGCGCGGTAACCTTCGCGCTCTCGCGCCGCTCCTCGGAGGAGGGCAGCCGCTCTGGCACACACCGCGCCGAGAGGAGTGCGATGATCTTCGCAGCCCCGCGGGGGATCCAGATTTCTCAAGACATGCCTGGCCCCTACTCCAGATTTCGTAATAAAAGGGAGGGGGTCTGGACCCTCCAAGACAAGCCATTTCAGACCTCCCCCGTGGGAGAACCCTCCAAGACATCGTCCCCAGACCCCCCAGGCCCTCCAAGATAGCCTGAAAGAGACCCCCCCCGAAATGAGACCCCCCTCCCTTTGTTAGGAAATCTGGAGTACTTGATCTTAACAATGCTGTGACCGTTGTCCCTTCTTTTCGACGTTCCTGGTTGCGGCCAGCTGAGGCAGAAACATAACGAAGCCCCACGCAGCGGAAAGCAGAACTATTCGTGGACAAGTAAAACGGTTCGTGCGCGAACAACAAGCGGACAGAAAACGGAGTGCCAAAACGGATGGAACGAATGGATCAGACTACACAAACATGATCGGCGGGTGTGGGGTAGCTGAAACAGCATTGAAAACGCTTCGAACACTGATAGCAAAAACGGCGCGGCAAAGCGCAGGCCGTGTCCGGCCCTAAGCACGGAAAAAAAAAGTTCGTCGAACACACCTAAAAAACAAGGCTAACTGAACTAAAGCGGCTGCTCGATCATCTGCAATACGGAAACAAGACGGCGACCGGAAGGGAACAGCAACGAAACATCCCAAGCGTGTTCAAGACCAGTTAAGGCCTGGCCCCATAATGGAGAGCGCACCGTGCTCTGAACACGTGCGCGTGGGCAAACGCTCAACACTGCGCAGTGGCAAAGGCTCACCCGGACCAGAACGGCACCTGGCAGTCAGAAGAGCGCCCTGTAGGGACATCCTTTCAGCACTCAATGTCCATCTCCTTTTCGCCTTCCTGCCTTCCACTCCGCAAGCGTCGACATGATGTGCTCTCCTCGCTGCTTGTCATCTCCCCCTCCCGTCCAGCGCGGAGATGCTGCGCGGCGTTCAGCAAGGGGATCAGGTGCGCCGCGGTGATCGATGCCCGCACCTCCGATGACCCGCCGACTAGAAGGTCGACGAGTACACAAGCGCAGCGACGGACGCGGAATGGAACCTCATGCATCGGCAAGCGGATGCCACACATGCTGTCGACATAGAGCATCTGATAGAACGCCGCAGGATGGGAACGCGAGAGGAGGTGCAGGTTGACTCGATACAGTGAAAACGTATAGTAAGGACGCGTGGTAAGGACGCAAGACCCTTGGAGGCCGAAGTTGGGTTTTTTAGGGCGGCGGCGACCAGTGAAAACGGCAAAGGACGGGCCACAGAGGCAAGGACGCAAGGGCCTCCTAGATGAAGGCGCGCGTCCTTACTAGGCGCGTTGACTGTAAGTGGCCTAGCCGCACGCTGACGTTATGGGAGCAGACGGGGCGATCCAGCATGCAACGAGGCGGGAACGGAGCCAGCAGGCGAGCGAAACTTTATTATGCGACGCGGAGGAGGCAAGCCCAGGCTGCAAGGAAGGGCGATGCACCGTGGAGAAGTCGGTGTGGGCGGAAGGGAGGGGCATCAGAGAGCTGACTGCCGCCCCGCGTCCTCCCCTCCCGCTATGCAGTGGAGGTCCGTCCGCAAGAAGCCTTCCACGAGAAACCCAACCCTGAGACCCCAGGACGTCCTCTGAATTTGGGGATGGGATCGTCTCGCTTTCCACAGCAAAACCATCGAAACCGAAGAAACCCAGGGCACCCTGGAGGCAAGCAGGGTGTTTCTTGGCATGGGTCTCCACTGTATGGCGGGTTCCAGAAATCCTGAACCCAAGCAAAATGCCATCTCTTGAGGGACAAACAAAAGATACCGACACCGCGAACTACTCTCCCTGGACCTCTCCTGGGGTGTGTTCTGACCAGGACGTCGAGGCGAATCCAACGGTGAGGACGGGGGGCCTCCCAGGAGGCCCAAAAAACAAAAACGAGACAATGCCGCCAGCCTTCTGCCAGCGGACCCGCCGCCTCTGCCGGCTCCCGCCGACCTTCTGCGGCATTCCGACGAGGGGGCGACGACAACCTCCTCTCGATTCCTGGAAGGCGAGAGAGGTCCTTCCTGGAACGCGCAGCATCTAAATCTACCTATTTGTCTGTGGTGCATACATACAGCCTTCACATTCTCCCTCGGCCCTGTTTTTGGTCGCCCGAAGTGGGTACGGAAAAAATGGGTACAATGCCCAACAACAAATCTTGTCCCAAACCAACAGCGGCCGCTGTTGGGCAGGCGGCCTTCTGCCTCAGATGGACACAGGCCGCGGCGGCGCGGACAGCGAGCCCTGTCCAAAATGAACAGGAACTGCTGTTGGGCATCGTGCCCGTTCTTTCCGTACCCATTTCGTTCGTGCCGACTCTTGCTATTACTAGAAGCCTCCTAGATGGGGTCGGAGTAGATGGGGTCGGAGGATCGCGCCGCATCGGCGATACGTCGGCGATGCATCGGCGATGCATCGGCGATGCATCGGCGATGCACCGGCGATGCACCGGCGATGCATCGGCGACGTGGGCGATGCATCGGCGACGTCCGCGTGAGAGAAATCGGGCTCCGCATCGAGCCGCATCGGCGATGCATCGGCGATGCGGTGCGATCCTCCGACCCCATCTGCCCCGACACCATCGAGGAGGCCTAGAGTTACTCTTTCCGCGCAGCGGTCGTTACCCATGGGGGGGGGGGGGCGGGGGCGCCAACGATCGGGCGAGGTGGGGCACCTGCGAAGAGCCTGCGAGCCGCGGCGGGGCGCCTGCGAGCACCGACGGGCCCCCTGCCCCACACGTGCGGTCGTTGCCGCTACCGTGGGGGGGGGGAAGGGGGCCCTAGGACACTGATCAAAAATATTCCCCATGTTTTCCCATCTGTTTTGGGCTTCCGTCTTCCCCCCCACTTCCCCTATATTTTCCCACATTTTCGGGGGAATCGACGATTACCTGTGAGTTCTGCTCCCGCCCGAGGGGAGGGGGGCGGGGGCTGGCCCAAGCAGCGACCGTTACGCGCCAGAGGGTTCTCCCCAACCCCCGTCTCCTCGTGGTCCTCGCTTACCTCCACCAGGGCTCTGCGTGCCGCCGCTGGCGCCACCCCACGCCGGCAGCACCCTCGGCCCCCTTAGCACCAGCGACAACGCGTCCACGCGGACCACGCTCAGGGTGTGCCTCGACTGGCGGAGGTGCGGGGGGGAGGCGCCAATACAGACTGCAATGTGCGAGGGGCCCGGAGAGAAAACGGACCCCTGCCCCGGGGCTTTCCCCGGGGTGCTCCTTCCAACCTAGCATTACGCTGCGCCCATCGTGCTTACGGACCACAACCCAAAAATAATGTCGAGCACCCGGAAATGTGTCGAAAGCGTGTCGAAACAGTGTCGGACGAGTGTCTCCCAGGGCCCGACTCACGAAAACCCTAAGAATGTTGGGGCACTGTTTTAGTGCTCGAAATTCTTTCTGGTGGTCAAGGTTGAAGTAGGTTGGAACATCATAAACTTAAGCCGGGCATGTCCCCCTCCAGGGGGACTTTCGACGAAAAGTAAAAATTACTCCGACGGAAGGACCGCACATGATAATCTGTTTTGCGTGCCCGTCTCCCTTTCCTCCTGGCCATGGCAAGCACCCTCCTCTCGCCCTCTTCTCTGCCCCCTCTTTTCCCTCCTTCTTCAACTTCTCCCTCCCCCCTCCGTCTACCTCCCCCTCCCCCTTCTCCACCTCTTCCTTATCATCGCCCTCCCCCATACCCTCCCCATCCTCATCTTCCCCCTGCCGCTTCTCTACGTGCACCTCCCCCTCCCCCTGGGCGGGGCAAGCAAGTCGATGTTCCTCGGCGCCGTCGCCGCCTCGGCCAGCACTGGACCGGCGCGTTCTCTGACGGCCGCGTCGCGCAGCCGTTGGGACAACCCCGCGGGCCAGGCTGTCGGGGCAACCCCGCGAGCCGTTGGCGCGCAAGACCAAACCGTTGGGACAGCCCCGCGGGCTTCGAGCGGGGCGCAGCCACGCCCAGGCGGAAGGCGGCACGCAGCCCAGCTTTGCCGCGAGCTGCTCCGCCTCCGCCCTGGACAAAACCGCTCTCTCGTCGAACTCCAGCAGCGCCTTCCGCAAGGACGCCGGCGGCCCTCGCTCCAGGAACTCTCGCGGCGGCGGCCGCAGGATCAGCAAGTTCCGCATGCGCGTGGCGCGGGAGAGCATGACGTAGAGGTGCAGCCACCACTGCTCATCCGACATGCCCGTGCGTCCGGCGCCCTCGTCTCTCGCGCAGTCGATGGTGACGCCATTGCGCAGCGTCTGGCCCTGCGACAGCGTGGGGGTCAGGTAGGACGCGCGCGCCAGGGTGAACCCCGAGCGGCGCGCCTTGTGCGCCCCCGAGCTCTGCCACGTGAACTCCCTTTCGCTGGGCCTGAACATCAGCTAGCTCCGCGCCCGCGCCTCGGCCTGGCAGTCGTCGTCAGCGCCCTCTGCGCCATGCAGCAGCACCTCGGCGACTCCTTGAAGCCGTGCGCCTGCAGCCAGACCCCCTGCGGTAGGAAGCGGGGGCGGAAGAGCTGGCCCGGCGCGCGCTCCTCGTAGTCCCGCTCGTCGTCTGCGTGAAACTCGAAAGACACGATGGTGGCCCGTTCCTCCTGCACGAGCCCCAACCTCTTCTTCAACTCTTCCTGCGCTGCCGCGAACCGCACCTCCATGCCGACGTGGGCCGGCAAGACGCCGTGGATGTCTCCCGTCTTGTGCATGTTCGGGACGTTCAGGAGGCGCCGGCCCGTGTCGGGATCGCCCTGAATCGTGCTGCACTCGTCCATGGCCTGCAAGAAAACGAGGGGCACGCCCAGGCGCCGCGCGTCGCGACGAGCGCGCGTGTTGATCCACCTCGCCAGCGTCTCCCAGTACATGCCCATGCCGCAGCCGAGCCGAATGTTCTCGTGCTGGTGCCGAGGGTCCAGGACGCCGCGGTTGTCCGTGGTCAATGCCCCAAGCGGACCAGACCTCCGGTGGGAAAGGCTTGCCCTCGCGCATGCAGCTCAGGAACGTGATCAGAGGGTCCCCGGGCTCGACGCGCTTCGTGCCCTTCAGCTCGAAGACGCAGGGGATCTGAGAGAAGACCTTGATGGCGTGCTGGATCTCCACCGTCGGCGGGTCCGCGTACTTGTGCGAGTCGTCGTCGTCCAGGCGCTCGTTCACGTCCGTCAGGAAGCCAATGCTGTCTGTGGGCTTCAGCTGCAAGAAATCGCCGAGGTGCGACACGATGGGCACGCGCCCGAAGCGGTGGCGCGGCCGCTGGTAGTTGGACTCCTGCACGTCGTGCGCGTCGCTGCGACCGTGGCATGCGCGAAGGTCCAGCGCGTTGTGGAGCGCGGCTGCCACCATGCTTATTTCCTCGATGGCGAGAACGCGGACGTACTCCCACAACCACTTCAGCCTCTTCTGCATGTCCCCCGGCCGCAGCTTCGCGTTGGTGTACTTCTGGGCACGCATGGCACAAGCATGTTCAGCGTTCTGGCCTTGGCAGTCTCCGCGGAGATGTTCTTCGCCTGCGCGTTCGAGAAGGCAACGACCATCATGCTGGCCCTGTCCGGCGCCGGCGAGGGCCACAGATACTCCACCACTGGGGAGACGATCTTCTGCACCACGTGCGTTTTCCCCGAGCCGCCCTGGCCCAGCAGGAGCAAGTGCGTGACCTTTCTCTCGCTCCAAGGCTTCTTCTGCGCGTCGTCGCCCCAGGCTTCGTCGCAGGCCTTGGCGAACTTGGCGACGAAGAGCGTCTGGTCCCACGTGAGTCTCTGGTGCTCCAGCAAATCAGCGACCAGTCGGGCGATGTACGCGTTGGGCGTGGAGCACACGCTTCGGTCGAATCTTGCCGCAGGGGGGTCGGTGCCCAGGCCGCCGGCGCTCTCGTCCGCGCCGTCGTCGACGCCCGCGTCATCCTCGTCGCCAGTGCCCTGGAAGCGTTCGTCCTGCAGCTTCGCCCAGGAGTCTCTCTCCTCGCGCGCCGCAGTCACCAACGGTCGGCACCTGGCCGCGGGCGCAGGAACGGTCGCGGCGTCCGCAGGGAAGGGCGCGCCCACGTCCTCGCGGGCCGCCTCGGACATGCACGGGCGCGCGAGGAGCTCCTTGGCCAACTTCGTAAGGCGCTCGCGGTGCGCGAAGTTCAGCACGTCCGCCATGTCCCGCTCCCCGTCGGTGCCCCACGTCGGGGCCAGCTGGAAGTGCGTTCCGACCCCCTTTGGAGGCGCGCCCGGGTGCTCTACGCCCTCGCCCGATTCGGCGCCCTCGTCTTCACCGGCGCCTCCACTGGTGGTCGCCTTGAGGTGCGCGCTCTGCGCGGCTGCGTCGCTCTGGCGCTGCCGGGGCTTCTTCTCCTCGCGCGCCAGGGCGATCCCCTCGAGGTTTGGCGCCACCTGCATGGCGATCATGGAGACGTACTGGCGCACCGTCGCCCTTGGTTTCTCCCTGTCGGGGCAGTGGGCGGGGTCCAGCGAGTCGCCCTCCTCGTCCATGCCCTGCGCCCGCGCCCGATTCAGCGCAAAGTGCCCCTCCTGCACCTCCTTCGCCTCCCAGGTGGAGGGCCGCTCGTGCCGCGCCAGGAAACGGGCCGCGGCGACGCGGGCCTCCTCGTCGGCCTGAGCTTGGTAATGCATCCAAGCTCGCGCGAAGCAGTTGGGCCCCGCGCGCGTTCTTTTCGCGAGGCGCGTCGGGGGCCTCCATCAGGGGCGCGAACGCCTGCAGCACGCGCTCGTCCTCTGGCGTCTCCGCGTTCTCCACCCTCAGTGGCCTCAGGAGCAGCTGCTTGTACAGGCACGCGGTCTCGCAGTCCTCGTTCATCGTCGGCATGGTGAAGCCCTCGAAGAGGGGCGCGCGGAGCTCGGGGGCCAGGCGCTGCTTCGTGGGCGGCGTGCAGCGCGGAGTGCGGCGCGAAGTCGAAGTCCAGGTGCCGCGCGCGGGCCTTGCCCCTCCACAGGCCGTCGGGCTTCTCGCAGCGGTAGACCCACATGGCGTGCACCTGCAAACTCATGTGCTTGAGGACTGGGTCGTCGCCGCGGCGCAGCCAGTCGTCCAGCGTGCTCGTGGCCTTCGTGATGCGGAGGCCGTCTGCCGTCTGCGGGGCCTCCTCGCGCTCGGAGCCCATGTCCTGCATGAACTTCGCCAGGAACGACACCACCTGGCGATGATCGGGCGCGTCGCGCGCCGCCTTGGTCGCGACGTCGTGCTCGTCGGCCGTCTGGGTGTCCGGGAAGCGCAGGCCTTCTGGGCTCACGTACACCGCCCGGCCGTCCTCGTCCTTTTCTTCGCGCCACCCCTCGAGCGTACACGGGTCGACGCCGCGGCCGAGGCACTGCGCCGCGGCTCGGCCCCCGTCCTGCTTCGCCTTGTGCCGGAGAGAGCTGCCGTACTCGCGCCGCCACGCCTCCGCCGCCGGGAAGACGCCCTTCTCGATGTAGACCGTCCAGCAGCGGTGGGGCGCGTAGGTGAGGTGACCATAGAAGATCGGGAACAGCATCCTCCCGGCGCTTTCCTGTCGGCAGCGGACAGAGTCTTCTCGGGGTCCCCCCCGCGCTGCTGCAGCTCCAGCCTCATCTTCTCCTGCTGCGCCTGTCGCTGTGCCTGGAGCCGCTCCAGGCCGCGCCGCATCTCCACGAGAACGCCCTCCATGCTGGGGCACTGCTTCGTAGTGTAGGAGTTGATGTAGAAGCCCGTGTTCAGGCCGGCGGCCTGAGCACCCTCTTCCAGCTTGTCCGCGAAAGCAGCCTGGGCGTCTGCGCCCGGCGCGCCCTCGTTCTCCGCGCCCTCCTCCGCCAGGCACTGCAGCAAGATGTCCCGACATTCCTCTAAGGAGAAGTCGTCCGTCCACGCGAGCGGCTCTTCCGACAGTGCCAGGCGCGGGACGTAGCCGTCGCCGTCGCCCAGCTCGTAGGCGCCCATGTACCCCAATTTGGCCTGCGAGCCGACGTGCGGTAGCACTTCGCCCTCGTCCAACCGCGCCTCGGGGTCGCTGACCCGGCGGAGGTCCTGCGCGTCCAGGTTGAAGCGCCCGGCCGCGGCGCCGGCGTAGTTGGTGATGCACTTTGACGGGTGGAGCTGGAAGCGCAGCAGACGACCCTGCATGCCGTACGTCGAGGACCGCAACGCATCGCACAGTACTCCCGCAGGTCCCGCACGCTCCAGAGGAAGCGCACTCC